TGTTCTGCTGGCAGGAGTGAGGAGCCAAGGCAGTGCATTCAAGCCCACATTGGCTTAGACAGCAGGCTGAGGTCGAGGAGGGGAGGGTTTTCCTTCCCCTCTGCTGCATCTTTTGGCTGGTGGGCAGCTCTGCATTTTTTGCCACTTATTAGGGCTTGTCTTGGAGGAACAGTGCTGGTGTGGCCAACGCTTCCAGTAGAGCTGTGGGCATGAGGAGCTCTGCACGAGCTCCCGGGTTGCTCCCAGGCCTCTGGGTGGGATTGTTCTCCCTGGGCTCCTGGGGCATCACTGGCCCTGGGACTCCAGCTGTGTTGGGCAGTAGTGCAGGACTGTGGTGGATTGGGCAGTGCTGGTTTTGTGTGCTGATGCCTGTGCATGTCTTCCCCCTCCCCCTGCCTGCTTTCTCCTGCATCAGCCTGCATTTGTAAAATGAAATAAATATTGACACGGGCGGGATGCTATTCAATTTGTCCTGATCACTGGGCTGCGGTGAGTTCTGACAGAGCACAGTGTAAAACATAAGCTCAGGATGTAATTTCTACTGTCAACATGATGTACAGTAGAGCTGTGCCAAATGCACACCAACAAACTGCACAAGCTCTTGTGGGAAGGGGAGGGGGCGAACCGTGCTGGTAATTGGGATGCAGGGGTGGCAGAGCAGCAGGAGAGGGGACATCACCCTGGGCTTGGGGCCGTGTGAGGGTCTGGTGCTTCGCTCTGTGCATGAAAACCTGCTTGGCTTGGCGAGTGCTGCCACGTGGGTGCATGTGTGCTGCTGCCTGCTGGGACCCTGCAGGCTGGGCTGGCTGCAGCAGCAGCTCCCTCCGGTTATTTATGGCCCCGCTGCTCACGTGTGGCAGAGAGAAGTGGCACTTCCAGCTGTTGGTGAGAGGTCTTCAGTAACACAGGGAAATAAATTTAGTGCTCGTCTTGGTTCCTATGCACAGGACTTTCTGTGGTGCCTTGATTCCTGCTGCTGCAAGGGCACGAGCAGGACTTGGGGGTCTTGGCTTCACGGCCTCTGAAAGGGGTCTGTGATGTGATAGCTGGAAAAAGGGTGTGCACACTGAGAAGAGACATGACCTTGCCCCCAGCTCTGGCCTGAACCTCTGACAGAAAAGACACAGGCTGAGAAGTTGTGGGTGGAGAAGGAGGATCTGGTTTGTGGCAATGAGCCTGGCTAACAGATGTGTTTCTGGGTCAGTGTTTTGAGGTGGCCCTGGTTCTGGGGGGCTGGAGGTCACCATAGGTTGTGTAGATGGGCTTTGCAGCCTGGTCCCTGGCTGGGGAAAATCAGGTTACACCACCTCCACCTATGCCCATGGGAAGATCACACAAACAGCTCAGCTGAGTGCAGCTGAACTTTGGACCCATGAGAGAGCCACCAGCAAACCACATTAGCAGTAAGACGAGAAATCTGTTAAATATAAAAAGCAGCATAATAGCTGAGACTCTAAACACAAGGTTGTGGTTCCCACAGCAACGCAGCCCAGCCCATGGGTGCTCAGCAGGACTCTCCTCTCTGTGGCAGGAGCTGCTCTGTGGAGTGCTCAGATGCAACAGGGCTGAACAAGTTGCCTTGGGAACTGTGGGCCAGCCTGTCCGCCAGCCAGGGAGCAACTCAGCTCCAGTGGAGCTCACCCACTGCAGCATCTTCTGCCCTCACTTCTTCTTTTCTGCCTTGCCTTAGTGAGTGCATTTCAGTCATTGGGTTTTTTAACTGTTTTACTGATACATTTTAGGATTGTGCTGCTTCCATTTGTGTGCTGCAGCTGTGGCCAGGCTGACCTGGCAGGCACAGTGCCCGTTTCTGAGCAAGGAGCAGGGCCAGCCCTGCGTGCTCAGGGCTGTCTGCAGTGCGTGCCTCAGGTAGTGGTGTGGTGGAGGAAATCAGCTGCCACTCAGGTGTGAAATGCTGTGATGAGGAGAATGAAGGTGGCTCCCACTGCGTCAGGGAGCCAGGGCTGGTGCTGTGTGCCAGCTGTGTGCCCTGAGCACCGTGTGCTGCAGGCAGTGGGGAATGTGCTGCCTTTGTGCCGGCTCGGTCAGGGACCCTGGATGCTGATGTTACTTGTGGTGCCAGGACTTGCACCATTGGACTGGCTTTCTTTCAGCCTCCCTACGTGTTCAGAAGGCCTTTTGGTGCTGCAGAACTTCTCCCTGGCAGCCTTGTCAGGCTTCTGGCAGGGCTTCATAAACCAGTGTGGATGGATCTGCTCCTGGATGGCAAGGAGAGGGTGCTGGGTGAGCAGAGTGGCTGGTGGCTGCCTCTCCCTAAGGCTCTGCGGATGTATTTGTCCTGAGAAATGGAATCTTTTTTAAGTTCTTTTTCTGGCAGTTGCATCTGCCAGGTACAATTCATTTGTGCTCAGCCTTTGGATGCATATGGAGGTGTTGCCTTCAAAAGTACTGCAGAGTGGCAGAGGGCAGAGATGCTGGATGTGTTCTTCCCACACTTACTGTTTGCCTTGGGTACTGACCTGAAACTCTTGCTCTGGCACAGCTTGTGCTGTTCAGTTTATTGACATCTCTTACTGTCTGTGGAGCTTACTCCAAAATAACCACAAATCTCCCCGATGTGAGAGTTCAGAGAGATGCTGTTTGTGACGGTGGTGCTGTATCTTGGTTTATGTATCTTGTGTAAATGTGAGAAAGCACATTTGCAAGTGTGCTGTTGTTGTGTCTTGTTCTGAAGCCTGTTGTGGGTCAGGCGTTGGCTCCGTTGCTCCAGAGCAGGCACCCTCATCTCTGTGAAGTTCCTTTACCCTGAGAGTCTTCAAACAGTGGGAAGAGATGACTCAGTCCATCACCAACCTTCAGGTCACCTCATTTCCCTGAGTCTCCAGTATTAAAAACTCTGGTGTTTGATAGGGCTCCTCACCAGATTGGCAAGTGTAGCTCATCCTTTGGGAGCAGGAGCAGGAAGAGCTTCTGCATGGGGAGGCCTGGCTGCAAGAGGCAGTCATGGCACTGCCAACAGCCTTACCTGGCTGCTGCAGAAATGTCTTAATAACAAATAGGCTGGCAGGGAGAAGGGGTGGGGAGGAATGTCAGTGCTTCTGTACCATGATTGCTAACATAAAAATACACTGGAGACCCTGTGTTCCTTCGAGCATGAAGCGCACAGGGCTGGCACATGTGACAGCTGAGGTGCATGTGTGAGTGGAATATAGCATGTGGACATGGAGAGGAAATGTGTGTGCACCCAGATGAGGCACAAATACAGGCAAAAGAGTGCCAGTGTGTGTGAGTGATCTTAGCTGTGCATGGGCTAGAATGTGTGTGAGAGCCCTTTTGGTGAACAGATCTGTGCTCGTTGTGTGACACACTACATGAACAGGCAGTGCAGAATAATACCTGGCACTGGTGCCTCGTGGTTCTCAGTGAAGTTAGTCCAGACAAGTGAATGCAGAAACGGCAAGGCAGCTCACTGGATGCTTTGGGAAATGGCCCTTTGGTGCAGTCACACAGGGGAATGGCGAGTGTGGGTAAGAGCTGGGGAAATACTTGGGAGCTGTCCCTGCTCTGCACTGCTGGGGCTGTTTAGATTCATGGGGGGGGGGGGGGGAAGAGCACAGTCCAATTCTCTTTCTATAGGGAATAGTCCAGGAACATCTCCCTCTCCGGTCCTCCTCTTTCCCCCTCCTATTTAGAGTAACAGCTGACAGGAGATTAATTCTGCAGACTGGTGCATGTTTCATGAGTAGCTCAGGCTGTGGCTGGTATCACAGAGCTCCGGTGGAAGCTCAGGATGTTGCAGGGAGAGATGGATGCTGCTTGCCCACCTCATGATCAGCCTCTGCTCCCCAGGTACTCATGGATGTACTGTACTCTTGGCCAAAGGCCTCACGTCTCAGTCCTTAATACCTTGCAGGTGGCTTGAAACTTACCCCAGAGACCTTTCTGAAACTGTTACCTTTAAAGTCAGCCAGGTGGGGAGATCTTGAGCAGATGCTTTTCTCCCGCCCATGCCTGCAGAAGTGAGAGGACAGCAAAGCTTCTGCAGGGAAGGGTCTCAGGAGCAGTAGGACAGCCTGCCCTTCCCATGGGCAGGCACTGGCATCCCCAGCATGAGCTTTGTGTGCTGTGGTCTGGTCCTGTGCTGGCAACGGGAACTGCAGTGCTGGGGGTGCTGCTGCACATCTCCTGACAGCGTGGGCAGCGATGACCCCCTCCAGGCACAGACCCTGCTCCCCTCAGCAGCCAGGGCAGTGTGGTGAGGAGGTGCCCTTGTCAGCGGGGTCCTTGGTGGAGCAGATATCCACAGTGCAGAGAGCTCTGCAGCCCTCCCTTCTGTGTTCCTGCTCTGACAGGACCTGTGGGACTGGGCTGTGCTGTGGGGCACCTGGGGCAGGGCAGGGTGGGGACACTGACCAAGGCTGCAGGAGCAGCACAGGAGGTGGGGGGACATACGACCCTGCTTTCACGCTGGCACTGACACCTTGGCCTTTTCCAGGCTCCTGGAGATGCTGTTGGCCACCCTGCACCTCCCCGCGTGAGCCAGCGGAGGATGGAAGTGACCGGGATCAGCTGGGCAAAGGACCCTTCCCCGGGCTCTGGGGTGTCGTGCCCCCGAAGGTGGGAGTTACAAATGTCCTCCTTGTGAGCTGCTCGTGTGGCACAGGCACCTGCACGGCCGGACCCCTCACACAGTAACCCACGGCTGCGTCGGCCACAGCAGCTCGTCCTGTTAAAACACCCGTGGAAGGAGCTTTCCCTCTCCTCCCGTGAATGACGGTTGCGGGTGCCCGTGCCCCGCACGCCCCTGCCCGCCGGTGGGGTGGGCAGCATCGCCCGCTCCCCAGCTGAGCCCGGAGCCGCGCAGCTCTGCCCCTGGGCACAAATGCCAGCTGCCAGACTCTTCTCAGGAGACCCAGGAGCGGCCTGTGAGGCACCAGCGCCGACTGCTCCCACGCTGGCAGTGGACCTCTCCTCACGGATGTGACTCGTGGCGGGACAGGAGCGCTCCGGCCGCGGGGAGCGGCATGCGGCAGGGACGGGGATGCTCTGCATCGACCGGCCAGCCTCGCACTGCTAGTGTGGACTTCCCTCCTGCTCTTCCCTAAAGGATGCCGGCCGCCCGTCCGAAAGCTCCTGCTCATGCATCCTCCTAGAGTGCCATGGCGAAGGGTCTGCAGGGCTTCCCGTGGACCGTGCTGCTGCTGTTCTGTGCCATCCAGGAGCTGGGGGCCTGGGCCAGGCACACGGCGGTGGAGGGCCCTGGCCTGGGGCAGCCAGGGGACCCTGCGCTGCTGGCCGGAGGGCGAGTGAAGCGTGGCTGGGTCTGGAATCAGTTCTTCGTGGTGGAGGAGTACACGGGCACGGAGCCGCTGTATGTGGGGAAGGTAAGCGAGCCCAGCGTCTCCAGGGACCTGAGAGAGACGTGGCAGGGGAGAGAGAGGACCCATGTCAAGGGTGCTCACAGGGGCTTGGTTAGAGAGGTACTCTGTGGACTGGGATGGTAGGAGCACTCCAGAATTCATGGCTGTGTTCTTCTAGTCATGTGCTGGGTTCCTGTGGTGTTGGGTGCAAGGAGCTCCATCTCTTTGGGAGCTGCTGGCAGGTGACAGTGCCTTGCTGGGCAGAACTGAGTCTGTTGGTGGGAGCTTGTCACTTCGCTGGTGTGTGACCTCCTGCGGAGGCTGAACATGAACCTTTGCTCCTTTCACTCCTCGTGTCCTGAGGCTAAAAGAGCACTTCAACCTGGAGTTGCTGGGCTTTGTCATTTTCTGGGAGCTGTGGAGAAGCTGCCCTTGTCTCCCAGGCACTGGGAGGAAGATGTGTTATTTGTATACTGGTGAAGGCAGTGCTGGCTGTTGGGACCAGTCGGAGGAGCACACTGCAGTCCAACTAGAGCTGGGGACATGGGCTCACCCCAAAGTTCTCATGAGCAGGGCTGTCTGATGGCCTCGGCCGTCTGGGCATGAGTCTGGAGGAGGCTTGAAAATGGGTTTGTTGGCCTGGGGCCAGCCGGGATTTCAGCGGTGATTTGTGCCCGTTTCAGCAGACGCTCCAAGCCGCGCTCCTCCGCTGCCCTCGGAGCAGGCACAGCTAATTCCTGGCTCCCCTGGGAGCAGCTGAGGCACTGGGTCCTGCCACAGGCCTGGCACCGCCTGAGCTCCGAATGAACCGAGAGCTGCAACTCACCCGTTTCGCAGCCTCTGCCCACATCGCCCACCACGTCACCTGCCCCGCTCAGAACAAGTCAGCTCTGAGATCACTCCCTGTGGATTCTGCTTCCCAGGGCTGAAAGCCACCAGGGCTTCTCCAGGGGCTGGGAAAGAAGATGTGGTGGCCGCCCCCGGCGCAGCCGGGGCTGGGGTGGTCCCTAGCAGTGTGACAGCCCTCCTGACACAGCCCGTGGATCTGGAACCTTCCTGCACAGGGGGGACCCTGCAGGGCAGCGGGGGCTTGCCCTCTGTGGATGCCTCTCACACACCTACGTGTGCTTTCCGAAGGACCGATACCATTTCCATAAAATCTGGGTTCTCTAGCTAATCCTTCTTCTGAACTGTAATTTCCCCTGAGGCTGCTGTCAGTTTGATGTGGATTTCTTTGGGTTTTTTAAATAGAATTATGGGGTCAGCACTAGTTACAAACTTCTGCATGTGGACAGATCTATTTTAGATAGAGGAGAGGATTAAAGGGAAAAAAGCAGATTTAATTAAGTTGCTAATATTTAAAGAAAATTGATGAACTCGGGCTTTATGAGTTGGAGCAAACAGAGTGCGCCTTTATTACAGGCTAGTTTTTATTTGATTTTCTTTCTTTTCTAGCCCAGGAGTCATTTTTTATTTGTGTATCTGTGCTTTCTGTTTAATTGCTTTTAATAAGGAATGTGCACCTCTGTTCACATTTAATTTTGATTTAATTATTAGCATGTAATTAATGGCTCCGTAAAAATCCCGGTTGCAGTCTTTTAGGACGAGGAAACTATTTTCCTGTTCAGCAAACAGGACAGAGCAGCCTTTTGTCTGCCCTCTGGACGCCCTGGTGCTGCGGGCACTGCTGTCCTTGGCTGGGCAAGGAGGGTCCCCCCTCCTCCCGGGGCACGGTGCTGTTGGCATCCCCAGCCAGCAGTCCAGTGCCAGGGCTGTGTGACTCTGCTCTCCTGCCATGCCCGGGGGGGTGATGGGATCCCTGGGGCTGCCTGGGAACATGGTGCTCCCCAAACCTGCCCGCTGTAGCAGCGAGACCAGGAGGGGAGAACAACCCCGAGATGTGGTCTCGGCCCGTGGCATCTCCCCTCGGGTGTCTGTAGTCTGCAATCTGGCCCTCCCCCATTAGTTGTTGTTTAGCCAAGCAGCACAGATTTAGCTCTTTTAATCTTCCCTTGTAAATCAATCTCTGTAGCCCCTTGAGCCCGGGCTCCATTTTTCTTCCTAGCATTCCTGTTTGCAGGGATGTGCTGGTGTCTGCTCCGAGCACTCAGCGATGAGCAAATATGTGAAGAGGATGTGCTGAGAACTCAGTGTGATGCTGGGAAGAGGTGCTGGGTGCTTTATCTCTGCCCTAATTATTAATCATGAGCCTGGTGTTCAGCAGGAAAATGCAGTTGCTTGCGCTCTACCGACCAGGTGCTCCTTCTTCCTTCTGAAAAGCTCGTGGAGTAGCAGTGGGAATAATGAAGTGAAGAGAGAGGGCAGCAAGCTCTCCAGCAGCCAGCAGGGAGGGCTGGGACTTGGTGGCCAGGGTGGGACGACCCTCCCCAGAGGCACATCCCCAGTGGCACTGAGCCACCACGATGTTCCCAGACACTGCTGGGCTCGCAGCCCTGTTTGTGAGCTGAGGGAAGGTCTCCTTCCAGGCAATCCTTGGGAGATGTGTCACCACGGGCAGTAATTTGTGAGTGTGCTGCAAAATACATTGAATTGTCTAACGTGTGGGCCCCTCACTCATGAAATAAATATATAAACTGTATCTAACAAGACAAATATAATGAAGGCATCGTAAAAGAAGAGGCAGCCCTGGTATAAATTCTTGCTGGTGGAGCTGTATGTCTGAAAGGTGGGTTATAGAGCTGCAGTTTGGAAGATTGAATGGCCCATAAACATTTTCATATTTCATTAGCCGATTAATGGACGGCTTTTTTCTTCTTTTGGAGGGGGCAACATGGCTTTGCTGATTCCAGGCAGAAATTGTAGGAAACAAATGAAAGCAGCTGATGAAACCTTTCCGGGGGCCTGTCCCGTTATGGATTGTCCCAATTAATGCCTGTGCTGCTCTCTGTCAAGATGCATTCTGCCTGTCCAGTTACTGTTAATAGATTTCTCATAAGTGGCTGGATTGTAAAAACCTCATAACTCAGTTTAATGCCATCAATAAAATTATCTCTGGACGTCTGGCCTGGATTCCAGTCAGCTCCTGGTCCGTGGGGATCTGCTGTTTACCCTTTCTGTTCCTAATTTCAAACAGTGTCTTAATTAGAAAATGAAGCAGAGATTGGCTGCAAAAGCATCTTTGGCAGGGTCTGAACATGAGCCTGATTTGTCACACCCTCTGCAGGCTTTGCCCGGGTGGGGCTCTGGGTGTGATGTTGGGATGTTGTGACCTCTTGTTACCTTGCCATGTAAAACCAGCACAGGCATCCAGCAAGTGTGGGAGCTCTCAGGCAGGGAGACTTGTCAGCACCAGCTGCCCAGATCATGGAGGGGGGCTGTGGCTGGGGCAGAGGGGGCAGATGAGGATGGGCTTTGGGCAGCTGGATGTGTAAGGGGGGATGGATGCTGATGATGAGGTACCTGTGCAGCCTGGGAGACGTGATCCCACACTGCCAGAGTCCTGGCTCCTTGGCCACAGGGAAATCTCTTTCTTTGGAGTGCAGCTGAGTTGTCCTTTCCTTTTCCATCATCTCCTAACCCCTTGTTGATGGGGCTCGTCCCTTGGGGTATGGTGTGGGTGGGCACTGGCAGGATTTCTGATCTGCAGAGCAGGGTAAAGTTCCAGTTTGTTGGGTCTTCCTTCATGCACAGGAGTTGTCTGGTGGTGCTCTCTGTCACCCTCCAGCCCAATGGGAGCAGAGGGGCATCACTCAGGCACCGTGGGTACCTCGTGCAGGGGCTCCAGAGCCCTGCAGTCTTGGCTGGAGTTGGGCACAAGCACAGCCCCAGCCTGCTCCCACCCTCTCCCTCTTCCCTTGGCAGATCCACTCGGACTCGGACGAGGGAGATGGCTCCATCAAGTACACCATCTCCGGGGAGGGCGCGGGGACCATCTTCCTCATCGACGAGATCACGGGTGACATCCACGCCACGGAGCGCCTGGACCGGGAGCAGAAAACCTTCTACACGCTGCGGGCACAGGCCCGCGACCGGCAGACGGACCAGCTGCTGGAACCCGAGTCAGAGTTCATCATCAAGGTGCAGGACATCAACGACAGCGAGCCACGCTTCCTGGAGGGGCCCTACATCGGCAGCGTGGCTGAGCTGTCCCCCATCGGTAGGTCTGCCGGAGGGGAGGGTGTGGGTCGGGAAACCTGCGCCTCTCTCCTGTCAAAAAACCTCCAACCCCGTGAAGCCACCGGCAAATCCTGGGGATTCCAGTGTGAGGGAGCCAAAAGGGAAAAAAAAAAAAATAAATAAGGTGGCTTAAGAAAAACAAGTGGATAAATCCTCTGAGCTGATTGCCGGCCTGTGTCTGAGCGCTCAGTCTCAGCCCTAAGCCGTGCTCCGGGGACGGGGTCGTGGTGGTGCCAGCTGCCCGCTGGGCATTGACTCTGGCTTTGCACAGCCCCCCTCCCTCCTAAATGCTGGGAGGTTGGACTAAGCCCTTGCATGCCAAGGGGCTCGTGCCTGCCTGTGGTTCAGATTAGCCTGTGTGGTGCTTTTCCCCCTCCTCAGGCCATCCTCTGTGTGCTGCTTTCCAGCTCTTCTGAGCCCTGCGGCTGCCCAGCCATCATCCCTTGTGTGTCCCCATGCAGCAGTGCCAGGCCCCTCTCAGCTGGATCCATCCCTCCTCTGAGGGGCCAGGATTTGTTGGCTGAGGTTGAGGAATTCACGTCCCTGTGACAGGAGTGTGGCTGCCCTGTGTTACCATTAGCTGCCCCTCCCCTTGGCACCAGGCCCCTTTGAAGTGTGTAGATGATCAGCCACACTGAAGCACTGAGGGCCAGGCTGGGATGTGTATCCTGAGGCTGCAGGAGTCCTTCCCCCCAGGATGGCTGAGCAGGACAGTCACCTTTGTGCTTGCCCAAGTGTCAGGAGGGGTGCAGGGAGGTGATGTGTGAGCTGCAGCACTGCTGCCCTTGATCCTGGTGCTGGATTCCCGTGCTGCTGAGCGCAGCTGGAGTCCAGGAGAGTGGCTGGTGCTGCACTGCCCATGCTGTTCCCAGTCCATGCCAGGCTCTCTGTTACCCCACTGACAAGCCCGAGCTCGTAGCAGGCTGCGTGTGTCGGTGTGCGCTGCAGGCAGGAGCTGTAAATCACCGTTCCCAGAGGCTGCATCCAGGTAGAAGACAGCCTGTGAAAGACTCACATCGAAGATAAGGCAGGTCCCCAACAGTGTCAGAAAGGAATGAGTTGGCACAGGGGACAGGATTGGTGCCAGGACTGCGGTGAGACCCCCCTGGGGCAGCTGAGCTGCACCAGGGCTTGACAGGTCAGGTCAGGTGAGCTGCCAGATCCTGTTGTGCTGCTGCAGGAAGGTCTGGCTGCAGAGGCATCCTGGAAGCAGAGCTCAGGGATGATGCTCAGGTCTGCACTGCCTCAGGACAGAGCTCTGTCTCTCCGTGGTTAATGTGCAGCATATTGCTAAGCTGGTGCGTGGCCTCCAGCAGGTACAGATGTACAGGAATTGCCCACACCAGAGGAGCTGCTGCTACCTGGATTCTGTTGCTGTATGGAGAACAAGCTCTCTTGAGGCATCCCAGGCTCTCCTTCCTCTTCCTGTTACCTGCACAGGGAATGACCCCTTGAACTGCAGCCATGTGCTCCAGGAGAAATGAAAGACAGCATGTGGGCACCAAAGCAGGAGGCATCCAGTTCCCAAAGGGAAGAAAGAAATTAAATTAATCTAATTTGCTTGAACAACATTTTAAAAAGCAAGGAATTCTCAACTCTGAGTATTAGACTAAGGATCCCAGTTCTTTGAAAATCACTAACAATTATGGAGCTGCCTGATCAGACCGATGTGAACAAGACATATCAAAGGAGACAGTTTCTATGCGAAATTGGAGATCAGAGGGAGAAAGAAACACGGTTTCACAACATGAAAGGAGGCGATTCCTGCAAATTAAAACACTCGGAAGTTAAAAGTGAAGAGAAGTGCTGTGAACGGCGTGGGCTGTGCTTCCAAGCTGCGTGCTTGGAGAGGGGAGCTGGAGCCAAGAGCCTCTTCTTGCTTTCCGGGCTGTCTGCCTGTGACAGCCTCAAAGCCCTCTGCAGCCTGGCCGTCCTGGGGAGCACACGGGCTCCTCCAGAGCTGCCTCCCCCTGGAGATGGCCCAGGGAGAGCCTCACACACCACCCTCACGCGGTGGGAGTGCAGAGCCGGGGGCTGGTCATGGACCTGGGGTGTGAAGTTCAGCTCCGGACGCTGTGGGAAGGGGCTGAGGATGCAGGACATGGGAAGCTGCCTGGGCCAGGGAGGTGAAGTTCAGGGTGTTCTTATGGGAAATGCCCTGCCAGGCCCTTTTTGTGTGGGAGTGCTCCTTTTGTGGCATCGAGTCTGGGTGCAGCTGTGATCCTGGCTTTGTTGTGGTTGGCATTGGTAGTGATGTCTCTAAGCTGGGGCAGATCAGACCTGTGGGGTATTTTCACAAGAGTGAATGGGGGGTGTGCCTTGCTGCCTTCCTGAGTGTGGATGGAGGTGATCCCAGCTTGGTGCTGGCCAAGCAGGGGCAGGAGGGCTGGAGAGCTTGGGTTGGCTATTAGTGTATCAACATCAAATCCTGGGAACCTGCAGGAAAGCGTGCCTGCTCTCAGCTCCATTTGGGTCCAGCTGTGCTCTGCTGGGGAAGGGGCTGCCCCAGGGGCAGGGCTGCTTGTTTTTAAAGAGTTGCTCATTCCCTGTCTTGCTGCTCTGACAGCCTTTGCTCTGCAGCCCAGCCTGAAAAGTGGAGGGTGACCCCTTCTTTCTCCTCTCATGCTCCTGCCTTCCCAGACCTCGCTGGGGTTTGTGCTTGGGTGGTTTTTGTTCTCACTCCAGGCAGCTCTCAGCTGCACTCTCCATCCCCTGCCAAAAGCAGAGTCCTGGCTCCCAGAGGTGGGTGCCTTCCTGGGGCGTGAAGAGGAATAAACCAAATACAGTCAGATCCGCTCTGTGACAGCAGGAGCAGATCAAAGGACATTATTTGCATAATGAAGGAGTACTAATTGGGAGGGAAAGTCATTTGATTTCCTAGTGTCTAAGAGGGAATAACAAATGAGACAACTGCACAAACTCTCAGAGTAACTGGGAGTGCTTTGCAGCACAGCTGCCCCTTGCTCTGCGCTGGGGCCAGGGCAGTGTGTTTTGATAGACAGCTTATTTGCTGCTTGAGATTAAGTCAGGGTGGACTAAAGGCCTCTTTGGTCCAGGATCTTACCTTGACAGTGGTCAGAGTGCACAGGGAGGAGTGACAGCATATATGATGCTCCTCTCAATACTCTCCCAGCCAGCATCTGGTTTCAGTTTGGGAACCTCTTCAGGTTGGTTTCTGTCCTGAACTTATCCAGACTCACTGTTAAGCTCTGCAAAGGGAAAAGGGATTGCTGTTACTGATGGATCAGAAGTGGCAGATGCAGGATGGTCAGGAAGGCCAGAGTCTGAGATTTGTAAAGGGCAGAGGTGGTGGCTGGAGACAACCCCAGCCCGTGAGCCAGGCTGGAGAAGTCAGTGTTTCCTACACACTGAGCTCCTGCACTTGGAAGAAGCACATCCGGAATGGAAGGTGACCCAACATCATTACCTGGGCTCCCTTGGCACGGCAGGAGCAGCTGCAAAACCAGGCTGCAATTGGCTTTTCTCTAGAAACCTTCTCTGGCCTGGGGCATCAGGAGGAGTGGCTGCAGCAGCAGGGCCCAGAGCCAGTGTGGGATGCTGTTGGGATGCAGAGGAGGCAGTTACACCTGGGGCTGGCAGGGAACACAGCCAGGGCTATGGGGGGTGGAGTTGTCCCTGCTCAGCCCCCTGAGGGAGCAGGGCTGGAGGGAATGCACTGGGGTCACCCAGGCTGAGGAAGGCAGGGGCTGCTGGTGCTGCCTGGGAGCATTTTTGGTGACTTCCCCCCATGCCTGCTGCTGGGGAGCTGCCAGTCTGCAGGAGGGAGCCGGAACTGCAAACCCTATTTACACCCCCACAGCTGCCCTGTCACCTCGGGTTTGCTGGCCAAGAGCTTCCAGACTGCTCTGTGCTGGCACCTGAGGCTCAGCCTCTGTGGGTTACCCCGGTGTGGATCAGTCCAAACCATCTGATTTGGGCAGAATCCAGACCTGCAGCTGCTGAAGGTAGGATGGGACCCGACCAACTGCCTTGGAACTGCAGGAGCTTCACCTTGTTACAGGAGATGCTAAAATTAGCTGTATTTTGGGCTCCTTTCCTGAGTTCCCTGGGGTCTGCTTAGCAGCTGTCTGCTGCACTCAGGCGTGATCCCAAATCCAGCACGCGTTGCCTCCTGCAAGACAGCTCTGTTGGTAGCACAGGGTGGGTGTTAAAGCCCAGACCTCACTTCTGGGCTGTTTGGGGAGCATGCAGAGCCTGCAGCAAGGGGCATGCCAGGAAACGCGTATCCTTTCATCAGAACATCACTCTTCCCTTGGTGTGTTTTGCTCTCATTTCTCTGTGTAGCACCATGTCCAGATTAGAGACGATTTGGCTGTACAGACAGAAACTTGGGGTCAAGCCCTGACTCTAGCACAAAGCTGGCTGAATGCAGAAGTGATTATTGTGAAGAGAAATTGTTTAATCTCCATGCTGGAAGCAGAGAAAAACACTTTGTTTACCATAGAGCCAGAATGCTTGCAGGCAGTCTGATTTTTTTTTTTTTTTCCTTGATAGAAAGTGCTTAAAACACTTGGGTGCATCTGGAATGTTTTGGTTTGCTCCCCAAGATGCCACATATACCTGCTTGGTACCAGGGCTGGGGTACCTTGTGCCGTGGGTTTCTCTGGCCAGACACCCCAAAAGATGTTTCCAAGCAGCACATTTGAGTGTTTGCACCCCTGCCAGGTTAGTGCCCTCGGGCTTGTCCTGCGGGGTGTGAAGGCTGTGCAGTGAATCTCCTCTGGGTCTGGCTTTCTACCAAGTCAGTGTGTTCACAAGATTGCAAGAAACTCACTTCTGCTCCAGTAATTTTTAAGCTTCTCTAGTTCATTTTCTTCCCTGATGTCCTGCCTGCTTGTTTCTGGGGGCGCATCAGCCACTGCAGGTTTTTGGGGCCACAGCAAAAGCTTTAAATTGCATTTTTTATAAAATAAAATCCCACCTGTCTCCTGCCCCATGGCACCCAGGCCCCTGGGATGGGAGTGCTGCACGCTGGCATCAGGCCAGGGCACGTGGGCTTGCATGACACAGCACTCCTTGCAGGGTTCCTGGTGCTCTGCAGAGCTGAAATGCCCAAGTGCTGTCCTGGAGCTGGTCAGATCCACACAGAAAGGGTTCTCAGCATGGCTGGAGAGTGTCCTTGGGCTCTGTCTGAGCTGGAGATGCTGGCTGGACCCCAGAGTTGGTCTGGAGAGCAACTCCACACCAGGCTCCTGGCTCCGCCACGGAAGGGTGACTGCTGCCGTGGGGAGGGATGGTCGATTTTAGCAAGTGTTGGCTTTTCCTGCTGCTCGTTTACCTCTTTGCTGGCCCAGAGCCCGGCTGTACTTCTGTCCCTGGGGAAGTGACAGGTCCCAGTGGCTTGCTTGTGGATTCAGTGCAGGGTCTCTCTGCTTGTGGACGCGTTTGGAGTTTGCCTGTCAACATTTCTTTTATCTAAACGTGTTTGGAGTGAGTGGCATAGCAAGTGGGCTGGAGCTAATAGCCTTCTGCATGCAGGGTCGCTGGAAACGGCCCCAGAGGCTCCAGGTCCTGTGGGAAGGCGGTGTTGGATGCTAGGAGAGGTGTGCATTGGTATTCCAGAGGTGTCCTGCTGAGCCCTGGACCTGTGGATTCCTGTGCATCCCAACCAGGGCACTGGGCATGGCAGGGTGGCTGCAGGGGCTGAGCTCTGCACTCACGGGGTGGGAGCCTGTGAAGACACAGCTCCTCCATCCCACCAGCCCCTGGGGGCACTGCAGGCAGCTCCTGGCGTGGGCAGCCCCTCCCTGCCCTGCTCATCCAGGCCCAGGGATGAACCTCCCGGGCTGGCTGCTGTCCCTGGCAGGTCTCCAGGATGGCACAGGGTGGGGATGGGAAAGGCCCAGGCAGGGCCCATGGGGCTGGAGGATGGCTGGCAGCCAGGAACTGTGTTCCCTTCTCTGCCTGCTCCTGTGGACACAGGGACAGCTGGGCTGGGGGAGAGGATTGCTCTGGAAGTGAGGGTCTTGCTCCCTCTTTCCTCCGAGGGGAAACAGTTGGTTTGACCCACTGTGCCAGATCACACCTCTGCAGAGGGAGAGCAAGAGATGAGTTCTGGCTCATTAATTTTTATGTAAAACTTGGTTTCCTCTGGATCTGTGGGGGTGAGCTGGCCAGGGGAGGAGCCAACATCTTATCTCATTTTACATGTCTAATTATTTCTCTGGATAGGAGCTCAGGCCTCTTGGTTATGGGAGGAGGGTGATACAGCACATGATGGATGTTTCCATTTTATTTAGGGTATCTTTTATGGCTGAGGCACGTGCCAGAAAACTAAATAAAAGCTGTACATGCTGTACTTGCTGTGGGCAGTGCTATGCTGGGAGAGCAGGGACTAATACTGAAGCATGGTGGGAGCCAGGGAAGGCTTGTCTCTGTGGGAAGGAGGGGACCAGGGTGAGCTGGAATTCAAGACCGTTGCTCTTCACGTTGAAAAGGGGTAAGTGAGGTTTAAGAGAGGAGGCTGGAAAGTTGAACTCACAGGTCCTGATACCCAGGAGGTGACCTTGAGCAGGATGCCATGCATCTTCACAGACTGCAAGTCAAGGCATAAAATGGGGTCAGTGTTCCCTACCTGCCTGTTGTTGCTCATTTGTTAATGAGATGCTGTGAAGGCAGGTGGGAAAGGGCAGAGCCTTCCTCACTCCAGGGTTGCTGGCTGCTCTCCGAGGGCATTGTGCCCCATCCATTGCTGCCAGGCTGAGCAGAGGGGGAGCCCTGTCTGTTGTCAGGGGGCAGACACTGCTTTTTGTGGTTCTCAGGCTTTGGCACCTCCAGCATCCCTAGGAGGCTTCTCTGCTGGAGCTGGGAGCGGGATGCTTGGAGAACCTCCTGCCATTTCCCTTCTCCGGTCCCTTTCTCTGCTTTCTGATCAGAAGCTTCCCAAGGGAACACGCCAGGGTGTTCTGCTGGCGTGGGGGTGATCTGCCTTGGCCCATACCCGCTGAAAGAGCTGTGTAATGGCAGGGAGAGGAGGAAGAAATGCAGCACTAGTGTTCCTTAAACAGTTGTCTGCAAGGCAGAGAGCCAGTGCTGCCGTGGTGTAATCTGGATGTGCCTGGCAGGGATGCACCATAACTTCACTGGAGACAGCAAAGCATAAATAAGTTGACTCGAACTAGCTTGTTGCTGAAGACCGATGAGGAGGATTCTCCTGTTATCAGCAGAGCTGCAGCTCTGAGAAGGCTGCCAGGGAGAATGAAAAGCAACCATGGTAACTGCTCGTTTTCTTCAGTGAGCACCCTTTCCAGGGGATGGGAGGGAACTGGGCTGGGGGGAGCATGTGCATCCCAGCTGCTCACAGCAGCACTGCTGCCTGCACTGTCTCACCTCCTGCCTGAGCCCAGCCAGGGCTGGTGCAGGAGCTCCCTGGCTTGCCTGCAGGCTCTGGGCTTGTGGTCTTCTGACAAGGGAAGAGGAAGGCATCAGGGATTGGAGCTCTCCATCTCCATCTGGACCACTTCAGCTCCTTTTCTGCCCGATGCAGATGTGGGAACAGAAAATGCTTCTGACTTTGACTGGTGCCAGTGCTTGACCTGTGGGGTAGGGATGCACTGAATCTGGTGCTAGAGGTGGAACTGGGTAGCCTGTTCTCACAGCACTTTGGTCACAACACCTCCTTTCTCAAGGTGTCTGTAGGCAGGATTAGGCTTGCCTTCCTTCCTCCCTTCTGTTGTCTCTGTTATCTCAGCCCCTTTGCTCCTGCCCCCATCCTCGTGTCCTGGGTCCTGCTTTTGTCAAATTGAACATGATGTCAAATTAAAGCCATCACAGGGGCAGTGGGAGTGAAGTACCCAGTTTAATGAGGCAGCCCTGAAAATCAATAACTTAATTGCAGACATTTGATGGACTTTTATCCAATTTATAGTCCTCCTGCCCTGCTACGTGTGGAGCATGAGGAGGTGGTGCTGTGTCTGGCTCTGGGCAAGCAAAAGCCTTTCCTCTCCTGTGGCTGTTGTCCCTGTGCAGGTCTGCCTGCTGCAGTGTGGGTCAGGCCTTAGCTGGGAGGATCCTCTGTGGGCTGGAGGTGACCATGTTGCTCTGTGTTGACAGGAAGGGCAAATGCAGATATAACATCTCATCCCCAGCTCCTTCCCAGATGGTCCAGTAGGAGTCTACTGGGAGAAAAACTCCCAGCTCTTCAGACCAGTGATCTCCTGGAGAGCAGGTCCTGCCCCAAGGTGCCCCAGGGTCCTGCCACCCTGTAGCATGAAAGGGGCGTTTGCAGCAGTGTCTGGAGTCCTGGATCTCGGGCTTTTGTGGGGAGGTGACGCTGCATTTGCACCCCAGCTGTTCTTGCTTCCCTCAGCATTTGCAAGCAATCAGTGTTGGCCCCTGCTCTGAGGTTAGTGCTGCTCTTCTCAACTCCCCCCTGACTTTGTTCTCCTCTCTGTCCCCGCCGCAGGCACTTCTGTGATGCAGGTGATGGCCTCTGACGCTGACGACCCCACCTACGGGAGCAGTGCCCGGGTGGTCTACAGCGTGCTGGAGGGCGAGCAGCACTTCACTGTGGACAGCAAAACAGGTGAGCAGCACCCAGCTGGGCTGGGGCAGGACATCCCACCCTGGCCACACATCCTGAGCGTGGCTGTGAGCCAGCAGGTCTGTGCTCCCTTGCTGGTGGCTGATGCTGGGTGCCCATGGCAGGGGTGTTGGAGAGGAAGCTCAGCACCCCTGCAAAGTCCTGCCCAGCTCCACGCCCTGCCTGCAGCAGGCAGGACCCAAAGCTGCCAGCCCAGAGTGCCTGATCTGCACCTGCACTGGCAGAGCTCCTCTGAGCTCTGTGCCTGGAGCAGGAGTGCACCCACAGGCACATAAAAATCTCACCGTAGAAGGTTTAAATACTACCAAAGGGGCCTTACCAAAGGCTGCCTCGTTATCACCAGGGCTTTGATTAAAGGTAACACTTTAAATTAAGGATTGGTTTATAAATGTTCCATTAATATTTAATGAAAGAACAGTAGAAGCTGCTCCATTCCTTAATAACTTATAATAGGGGCTGTTGTAAAATGCCTCTGTAATAAATCCCTGGCAGATGATGCTCTGACATACTGGTTAGAGTAGACCATAACCAGGAGATGTTGGGGTATATATTCTCCTTGCCTCCCAGGAGTGTGACTCTCATTACCCTTAATGGGAGCCTCACAAGCTTGCTAAGGGGTAAGACACTCAAATGCTAATAAGAGATATTTAAGGCACAAAGCATGCAGTAAAGTGCCCACAGTTTAATGAAAAATTGTCAAAGGAAGAGCAGGCTTGTGTTGGAAAACTGGACAGCAAAGCCCCTTCCACCCTATTGCTGAACCATAATGAGAGGCTGAGATCAACCCCTGGGCTGAAGTGCCAAGGCTCTGTCAGGCTGATCTGTGTCTGCCCTGATAGATATTTTCTAAGGCTATTTTTATGTAAGGCAGAGTGAAATTTATTTGGAGACTCTGCTGTAGAGAGAGTGTAAGGAAGGTCTGTGGGCCTGAGCCTCTGCATCTTCATCAAATTGTGCACCTCCTGACAATGGTTTGGTGACTGTGGGGAAGCTGGACAGTACCCTGGGTGTGCCACCAGCCTGGCTGCCACTGGAGGAGGGCTCAGGTTTGGGAGTTTAGGAGCTCCTCCAGCAGCACTAGGGTACGTGGGGGGATATGCCTTTGCCTGGCCAGAGGCTGGTGCAGTGCAGAGAGGGCACAAGCAGCAGGTTGGGGCTGTACCTGCTCCTGGTTCAGGAACTGCTGCAGCTGGGCTCTCTTCTCTCCCAAATTTGCTTTGTTTTATATTGTGTGTTTATGAACAATAGGCTAAACTCTGGAAATTCAGGTGCACATGAGATCCTGTTAATCTGACAGAGCTTTGTGTGAGTGAAAGTCTGGCTGCCAGAATGGAGAGGGACCACTGGGAGCAAGCTGCACAAGCCAGAACGTGCAGGGGCTCAGCTTCCTGCCACATTAATGCTCTGTATTAAGGCATAAACTAAAATGTGCCCTGTGGGACTGTGGTGAGAATTAATGTCACTCTGGGAATCCAAGCTTCTTGATTCCTTGACTTTTTGTGTCTTAATTCTCGAGCTGGCTGTTTTGTACACTGGGGGGTTGATTTACTGTTCTATTTGCTTGTAATTCATATCAGTGAAACTGCTGACAGTCTGCAGAAGAGTCCTCAGCCCCTCTTGAGCGTGTCTGTTCCCAGAATGTCTGGCCGCTGGCGCAGGTGTTTGGGGCTGACTCTGGCGGTGTCTGAGCTGCAAATGGCCTGTGGCAGCTGCCTCTCCAGGGCTGCAGGAACACGAGGTTCAGCTCTGCCTCTTGGCCTCTCAGGGTGTGGCTGCAGCCCTGTCCTGTGACCCTCGTGCCCCTCTGTCACTGCCGGCCCACGTGGACGTTTCTCCGTGTCCACCCGAGCACATCCTGTCCTGCTCCCACTCTGTGTTGGAACAGGTTTTTATGCTGCACGTGGGAACCCAGCTCTGATTGCCCGGGGTGGCCCAGCTTCTGCCCTGAGCATAAGATTTAATTAACCATAGCAGCAGCATAACTCTCAGAGCCACCATTGTTATTAATGGCCATAAAAAGAACCATAAAACCCTGGCATGTTACATTTCTTATAATATATGGTAATGAAGAACAATTTGTTTTCCCTATTTGGTTTTGACCTCCTTCTCTGCCTTTCCTTGCACGTGCTCCCTTGCACACCACCTCAGCCCCTGACTCCTTCCAGCCTAGCTTGTTTCTTCCCTCCTTGTCTTTGCAAGCAGCTCTTTTCACACTCTCCTTCATAGCCCAGGTGTGGCATGAACAGGAGTGGTTTGCACACTTGAGGACAGGATATGGACCACGTGTAGCTTAGTTTGTCTCCTGTTTGTGGATGTCACCAGCTGTAGTGTTCAGCTGGGATTTCATATTCAATGGACCTTTCACAGGCAGACCCAAACCGTCTGGATGCCTTGCTGTGCCAAGTCCTGCCATTCAGTACGCCCTGAATGCCCACAGTGCCTCAGGTGTCTTTTTGGAGGGAGATGAGTGACTAAATGGCTCCCCTGGAATAGTGGGTGTGCAGCACCATGGCATTTGTGCTGTAGGAAGATTCCAGTGTTCAGTGATGGTGAAGAGAAAGCAGAGTTGATGCACATGAGCTTTTCTTCCTTTCATATATACCAGCCTGTCTCATGCCTTGAGAATTAAGTTTCAGAGACTGAAACTTGTGCTGTGTACCCCAAATCAGGTTCAAGAACTTCCCCCGTGCGTGTTGAAGGTCTGGGCTGGCTTTTTCGGTAAGTTAGTGAAGAGCTTTGTATGCACAAGCTGTGAAGGCAAGACTTCCTGTGTCAGCTGTAAGAATATTCCAGTGGCTTCTTGCAAGAGCCTGCGGGCATCAGTCCTGTGAAAGCTTTGTGCTGCCTTCCTCATTCATTCTCAGTCTGCAGATGGGGTGCAGCTGATCTTTAGTCCTTGCAGCAGGTGAGCTGCAGTGCCCAGGCCGTGGCTGCCCTACTCTGCTGGAGGAATCTGTGCCCTCACAGAATGAACACACACCTCTACCCCACTGCTTCCACTGGGAAACAGCCACTTCTGCCACTCTGGTGGGTGTTGGCTCTCTGATCTAATCTGATGACAAGCCCAGCTCTGCCCAGAGGGACACAGGGCAGGAGGTTTTAGTGCCAGCTCCTGTGGCAGCTCCAGGAATCTCATCCTCACCAGGATTTTTCAAGCTGACATCTTTCAGATGACGCAGAGATGGGCATGTGAGCGTGTGGCTCCCAGTGCGTTTCCGTGAGAGGAGAAATCTGTGCGCTTAAATCTGCAGGCCGTGTTTTCGTGTTGCTTTATATCACCCTGCACTCTCTGTACCTCTGGAGATTATTCACCTTTATAGGGGCAAATCTCTCCCTTGGCAGGCAGCTGTGCCTGCCTGCTGGTGTCTGTTCCCACGTCCTTTGCAGTGCCCTTTCCCATCCCTGGGCAGTGTGGCTGGAGACTCAGTGCTGCCTGCGATCCCTGCCCACGGCCTTTGGGAGGGAACCTCAAAATGCTCGACACTCAGGGAGGGACACAATCTGGTGTCCCTGTTTCCAGCAGTCTTGTTCATCCCTTTGCAGGGATATTTACTGCCACAGAACAGCCACAGCACATAATACCACAGGCCTCATGATACCCGGTGCCTTCCTCAGAATCAAGGGATTGTTAGTTCGGGAGAGCACAGGGGAACAGGGTTTTTACTGGAAGGGAGAGGTTATTCTTAAAACTTGTCATTCTGCTGGATGCAGGGAAAAAGCAGAAGGACTCAGAGGGTAGCTAAAATGCAGTCTGGCATTTCTGATGGCTTAAAACAGCTCCTAAGTTCTAGAGCCCGTGTCCTGATTGAAAACTGAGCCGGTAAGGGCTTAGAGGTTCTTATGCCGGGGAGCGCAAACTGGAGATCCCGACCTGCTGGGATGAAGCTGATGGTTATTTGTGTGCAGTCAATAGTTGTTTCGTCCCTATCAGCCTTGCCCTTTGGAGGCTGACCACAGCCCTGCCCTGGGGCAGTGGGGCTGGGCTAGGAGAGGCTCTGTCTGGGAGAATGCAGCACGCTGAGCTGGGCTGATGAGCTGTTGGGTCTGTGTGATGTGGTGGTGGGAGGCAGAACGTGTTTCTCTGCTGTCGTTGCCAATTTGTTAAAAATGGTCCCCGCTGCCTGAAAACACAGGTATATCAGCGTGTGAGTGTTTTCCTGGGAGCCCAGGGGGTTGTGCAGGTCTGTGCCCCATCCCCATCCTTTATCCACCAGAGCTGTGCACAGGCATGAGGGACTCTGAGTGTGGGGCATGAGAGTCTGCAGAGAAATCACATTTATTTAAGGGGATTGCTCTTCACAGCAAGACTGAACGTTAACAGTCCTTTTCAGAGACTGGTGCAGGCACTTCAGGTGTTTTGGGACCAAATTGTATGTTTGAGTGTATCTACTAATGTGCCAAGGGAATTAATGTTAATTGATGAGGGATTTAGCTGCTAAAAGAGGAAACAAAGGAAGGGTGAGTGTGCTGGCCTGTCTGTTGGAGCTCACTGTGGGTGCCTCCCTGTGTGCTGGCACAGGCAAGGCTGATTCCAGCCTGGAACAAGCCCTTGTTGGGTGTTCCTCTCTGAGAAGTGGCAGTAGCTCTGTCTCTGTAGGTTCTGCCCTAGAAGCTACAGGGCACACTGGTTTGAAAACGACTTGGCTACCTGCTGTGAAGGGTACGGTGCTAGAGATCCCCATCTGCAGCATCCCTCAGCCCCAGCGATTCTGCACCCTTCCAGGTAACTGTGGTTAGCTTGGCTCAGCCATAATGTTTCCATTTCTGGATCTCAGCCCTGTACCTAATTTGCTGAAGAGCCATGAAGCTGCTGAGCCCTTGTGCCCAGTACCTCGCTCAGACCGCCTGCAGTTTCTGCCTCCCAAATTGTGCTGAGCTGAAGGACAGGAGTGGGGGCCGTGCATGGAGGGCAGATGAAGTGCTGGTTCTTGGGGCTAAGACCCCTTCTGCTTGAGCTGACCTCCTCCAGGATGTGTGCTTTCAGCAGCACTCGTGTCTTGGTAGGTATATTGATATTTCTGCGTCCCTGCAGGCAAGTGAGGGCGCAGGTGAGGAATCTGCAGTCTGTTGGCAGGTGCCTTGCCACTCCTGGCCTGAGGCAGAGATGGGTTTGCTCTAACTGACCAAGCTGCTGGGAGGAATGAGCCTGTTTTATCCAGCTAAGTAGGAGGGGGTAGAGAAGGCAGACCCAGATTCTTCTCAGTCACGCACAGTAAAAAGACACAAATGGCAGGACGACAAGGCTTGTCACCATGAAGGTGGCATTTCCATCCCTGGAGATACTAAAAACCTGACTGTTCGTGGCCCTGGGTAATCTCATCTGCCTGTTTTGAGCTGTACTTGGACCAGGAACCTCCCGAGGATAGATCCATGTTTGTTACTCCATGACTTTCTGGCTCGTTGCTTCTCCTGCCCTCAGCTGGAAGGTCCCTTGTCCAGATGCTCTCTAAGGATGTGGACATCTGACCTAGAAGTACCTGAGAGCAGAGCAAAGCCCACAGTGAGGGGATTCCTGGAAGGCAGTTACCTGCTGAGTGCTTTGTCCTGCTTTGTTTTTATTACTCAAAGAGTGTCTGCTGTTGGAGCAGATTCGGTGGTATTTATGTGATTCTGTAAGTGTCCCCTTGCCTGGTAATTATACTGATTAATCTGGATCATGCTGGAATGCCACAATGTGCCTTGTACCAGAGGGTATGCCACCACACATCTTCACTAGTCAGCTCTAACAGATGCTGACAAGAACTGGGGAGAAGAGTCTGAGCTGGAGGTTGTTCTTGCTCTCTTAGCAGAGCCTGGGAAGGACAAAGTTTGTCGGCGTTTCTGGCTGGAAAGAAGGTGAATCTTGAATAGCAGTGACTTTTCCATGCTCTGAGTGCAGAGGTTCCTGCCCCTGCCCTCTGTGCCCTGAGGACAGGTCTGTCAGCATCCCTGGCAGCTGCTTTGCAGAGTCCCTGGGGGTCAGGTTTTGGGAGCAGAGGCTGTCCTGGCTCTGGAAGGTAGGACCATGCAGGTTTGCTGCTGGTGGGTGTTTAAGGCAGTACCCACAGTGCCACATTCAAGGAACTGATGTGAAGCACGCGTGGAGACCCTGATTTGTCACAGCCACCAGCAGATAGTGAGTGGTTCCTTGGCCTAGAAGGCAGAACCAGCCTGACTCTTGGGGTGGTGGCCTGATGTGGCCCATGGAATTTAGGGACAGCTTCCCAGTGACAATCCTGCTGGGGCACAGGGCAGTTCATCTGCAGCAGACCCCTGCTTTTCCAGGATGGATGGACACATGGCACCCCTGAGAGAGGGAGTCTCTGATCAGTCTGCACCACTACCAAAGGCAGGGGTTTTGTCTGCCTTGTGCTGCTGGAAGAACCAGAGCTGGCTGGGGCCATTTGCCCTGCTCTGCACGTGCCAAACAGCCTGGACTTGCTCCCCACTGGGATGAGTGACCTTGGAGGTGTTCTGGGAAGTGCTTGAGCACTTTCCTCCCATCTTGCATGGCGTATTATGAGCTATATCGTTACGAGCAGCTCAGTTAAGTCATTACAGCCTTGGTGAATGCATGAGCTTTTTTCCCTCTCATCCCAATTCATCACTATTGTGCTGACATGAATCATTTTCATTATAAAATGCTTCAGACCCCGTTAATTAACAGAATTGCTTAAATTTCAATGAGATAGTGCTTGCCCAGAAATAAGGGTTTGTATTCACAGTGGAGTGGCAGGAGAGGCCTGTCAGCAGAAGCAGCTGGGGCTGATCCCTGAGCCCCCAGTGCTTGTGCAGGGCTGATCCTGCTGCCCAGACTGGGGAGAGTTCCATCCTTACCGGGACAAGTGCCTGGAGACATGTTCTTCCCAGCCTTTCCTGTGTCCCCTTGGCCTCTCTCTGTGAGGTGGGATGGGACTCCTTGTCAAATGGCTTCCTCTGAGCAGAGCCAGGAGGAACGAGGGGGTCAGAGCAGACCCCGGGCCCCATCACAGGGTAAACACCCACTCCCTGATCCGTGGGGCTGAAGGCAGAGGAGTTCAGGTAATTACAGAACTCAAAGTGACAGAGGGACAAAGGAAGCTGAGTGAAATTGTGCCTATCCATGAGCGCTGAGGAACGGCAAGGATCTTAACTGGTGGTTATGTCTTTATAATAAATCCTAACAATGGTAATCATTGGAATAATTGCTAGTTTCAGAAAGGAAGGAGTGATAAATGTCTCCTGAACCGTGTTGCCCGCTCCTGCTGCACCTGTAATGTCATGTAAAGAGCAAGGGGGGGAGGAATTTCATCCTGCCAGCTCGGTGGCATTTCAGACTGCCTGTGGGCCACTGCAGCGGTGACTCTGTGATGTGAGCCCTCGTCGGGAGGTGCACAAGGTCACGCTGTGCACCCGAACAGGGAGACTGGCACCCTGCTGGCTGGGGAGAGCTGATACCTGGAAGCCTCAGGGTCCATCCCTGGAGCCACATTTTGGTTCCTTGCAGCCCACCTTCACCCAGTTCTCCCCTCTGCTGCGCTCAGGTTGTGTTGAGGGCTTCCCAGGAGCCAGAGGGCTTGGGGCTGCCGTGCGCTGCCACTGCTTGCTTTGCTGCACGTCAGCAAATGGCTTGGAAGGTGCTCAGAGCAATGGATGGTTCTCTGCTGTTCCCTGCACAAGGGAGGAGCTCCTTGTTCCCTTTGGATCAGACCCGTTCCAGAAGCCCCCTCCACCATCGCCCCGGGCACCGGCCAGCATTCCTGGTGGAACAAAGCAGGGATGGATTTTGTAGTTTACAGCAGGAGGAGATAAAGCTGGTAGTTAAACAGAAAAGGCTGGAAGAGAGAGGAATCACAAAAACATAAACCAATATCTAAATCCGCGGGAACACTAAAAAACTGAGCTGGAGGGGATTTAAAGCTGATTCCTAGCTGTTCTGGGATGCTGCTGGTACGCTGGGACTGGAATGTGGTGCTAATGACCTTGTATCGGTGCAGGCGCTCCTGTGTGCCCCTGGTGCCACCTCAGGGCAGAGTCGTTGCTTTCTTTCATTCTCAAAATGTTTCTTTTCTACTTTGTTTCCATGTAAATGAAACCCTCCTGGGTGACATAGGAGGTGCTAACTTTTGCCATTCACATGGTTTTCGGGGGTTGATTGCTTTTTGTTTCTTGTTTTATGTCCCTTTATGTTTCAGCCCTGGTCAGTTCCCCCAAGTCCAGATGAATACCGGGGACCTATAAACACTATTTTTAAAGAGACTTTCGTAAGAAGTACTGCCACACCATACATTTTTTTTTAAGCTCCAGTGCGTTCTCTGACACAGAGCCATGTGTATTGTTGCCTCTGGTCTCCTTAGAGGGACGCTTGAAAGTGAGGAGTTTCTGCAGACAGACTTTTGGAAGGGCACTGTCCCCATCCTTCTCCTGAGGCGTGTTCGGGCCATGGTCCCTGTGAGAGAGAGGACACTCATCATCTGTTAGGGGTGCTGCAGCAAGCCTGGCTCCTGCTCAGCAGATCAGGATACGTGGGCTGCTGCAGAGCTGTGCCAGGGGGGTTTGGTGACTCAGCCTGCAGACCTTGAGGCTGGCCCCAGCACAGCCCCCGCATCTGAGTCCTCTTGTTCCTCCTGTGACTCCAGCTCCCACCAATCCTCTGGCCCCCACAGATCTTCCATCCAGCTCCCAGCCTCCCCGGAGAGAAGCACAAGCCTCCTCTGTGCCAGGGTTTAACGCTGTGGGAGCTGCCAGCAGCCCACGGGAGAAGCAGCATGCTTCATGCGGAGACTTGCTGGGAGCAGGTCGGGCCTGTGGCTATTCCAGGGCTTGGAGGGGATTTGGGGGATGTTTCTGCCTGGCTGACAATCCCCTGGGCTTGTTCTACTCTCCAAAGTCCTTGTTTTCCCTTAGTTGGCTTCTGCTTGTGTGACCTCTGTGAAGGGGCCCAGCAGACACTGTGACCAGCAGCACCAGGGCTGTGTTGGGGAGAGTGTCCCCAGCAGTCAGGGAAGGTGACAGTCCCCTCTACTTGACGCTGGTGAGACACAGGTGCTGTGTCTGGCTCTGGACGGCCAAATATGATTCTAATGGGCTCACCAGAGCGAGTCCAGGGAAGGGCCACGAAGGCTGGTGAAATACTGGAGCATCTGCCCCGTGGGAAGGGGTTGGGAGATCCAGCTGATCCTGTTCGGAGCTGGAGCTTGACCAAAGTAGTCTCAAGCAGCCCCTTCCAGCCTCGCCCCGTGTGTGACTCCTCAGAGCTGTGTGACTCCTCAGAGCTGTGTGACTCCTCAGAGCTGTGTGACCTGGCCGTGCTCAGGCTGTGTCCTGCTGGTTCCCAGGTGTGATCCGCACAGCCGTGGCCGACCTGGACCGCGAGACGCAGGACCGCTACGAGGTGGTGATCCGTGCCACGGACATGGCGGGGCAGCTGGGCGGCCTGTCGGGATCCACCACGGTCACCATCGTGGTCACCGACGTCAACGACAACCCCCCGCGCTTCCCTCAGAGTGAGTCCCCGGTGGCAGCGGGTCCAGGAGCCGGGTCCTGGTTCCCTGCGGGTGGTGGGATGGAAGCTGCAGGCTGAGCCAAGCACAGCTCCTGGTGATGGAGGGGTGGCTGCCTTGACTGAGCTCGTCCAGGGTCCCTGGCAGGACTCCTGCTCTGGTGGTGGCTGTGGGAGCAAGCAGGGCCGTGTGGTGGGAGAGCACCAGCAGAGCTGGCCCTTTTCCTGAGGCCTCTCCGAGCAACAGGGAGAAGGCAGCCGGGTCTGCTGTGCTGCTGTCCCCTGGGAGATGGAGCAGGGGCTCTCTGTTGGCTGCTGGCCTGGCCCCCTCCTGGCTGCTGCGTCAGAGCTTGGCACGCTCTGGCCCAGTGCAAGGCACGGTGACGCTGCTCATGGACTGCAGCCTGGTGACACACGGCTCTGTCTGATGAGTTGCTGCTGGTGGCCCGTGGCTCGTGCTTGTGTGTGGGATCTGGGACCCTCCTGAAGCAAGGCAGGGGGTGGTCCTGCTGTGAGGAGTGGGCTGTGCAGTGCACACCAACCGTGGAGCTGCCTGGCAGCTCCTACCTGGCGGGCCAGGGAAGGGGCTGCAGCTGGAGGAGGCTCAGCAATTTGGCTGTGTCTCCTAGAAATCAGAAATGGTAAAGGAATCCTCACAAGGCATCAGAGAGCACTGATTGCAGGGCAGTCTCTGTGTGAAGAAATCAGCCCTTATTTCACCCAGCACCCAGCACATCAGTGCTCGCCAGTTATCTTCCCTCAGCCCTTGTTTTTGGCTGGATATGGGGATATTGGGATATGTGTTTTTTCTCCTGGTGGGGCATTGAGGGACTGTAGACACGGTGGAGTTTGGGCAGCCCTGAGAGCCCCAGGGTGCCCCAGGGAGGTTTGCAAAGGACCATATCAGCCTGAGGGGCGTTCACAGGTGGAAGCAGTGACCATGGTACCTTTTTCTCCTCCAGAGATGTATCAGTTCAGCATCGTGGAAACGGCCCCCGTGGGCACTGCCATCGGGAGGGTGAAGGCTGAGGACTCCGATGTCGGGGAGAACACGGACATGACATATCAAGTGAAGGATGAGGAAGGGGTGGAGATGTTCAAAGTCACCACGGACAGCAATACCCAAGAGGCTGTCATCACGGTACAGAAGGTGAGAGACGAGGAGGGCCGTTTGGGTAGGGATGGCGCAGGTCCTTGGGAGAGCCCATTCCTTTGGGGGCTGCTGCAGTTGCATTTGAGCTGAAACAAATGCTCCTCTGAGTGCTGCTCCTGCAGTAGCAGTTGCATTTTTGTGCCTGCTGATGCAGGGAGGGACCTGGCAAAATACAGGGTGGCGTCTGGCAGGAGAGACTGAAAAGGAGCAGCACCCAGTGCCTGCTGAAGTGCCCCAGGGGTGGCTCGAGGGTGGCAGTGAAGCAGAGAGCTGTATGGAGGGGACACCGTGGGTAGAGCTACAGAGACAAGTGCTTACAGCTGTTATTGATAGCACCTGTTAGGGGAGAAAAATGCCCACCTAATTGCTATACCTGACCAACAGCACTTTGACTGTATCTGCTTTTGGTGGCAAAAACAATCAAGCAAATACTTGGTGCAGGCAGAAAAGAATGATTGTTCTCCAAGGCCACAGTATGCAGCTCTCCTCCCCTGTAGAAATAAGAGCGGAGTGATTAATGATCAGAACTCGCTCATGTGCAGTGCACGCTGTGCTGTCTTCCAGTGAATCCCGGCTACCCACACTCTGTTGGGGGTCCGGGGGGAGTGGGCTGAGGGCTTCCCCTTCCTCCTGCCCCCTCAGTGTGGGTGCTGCTGGCAGGAGGGCAGAGCAGAAGCCCTGCAGAGGCACTGCCTGGGAGCGGGTGGCTTTAGGGGCTCTAGTGCTGCCCTGATGTCTCTGGTGAAGGAAGGGGCAGTAGAAGGGCTCCTTGGGCTGGCTGTGGCTTACCCTCTTCCCCTGTGCCAGCCTCTCGACTACGAGTCAAAAAAAGTGCACACTGTTGTGGTGGAGGCCCTCAACAAGTTCGTGGACCCGCGGTTCGTGGACCTGGGCACCTTTCGGGACCAGACCATCGTGAGGGTCTCGGTGCTGGACGTCGACGAGCCCCCCGAGTTCCGGCCCCCCTCCAACCTGATGGAGGTGCAGGAGGACGCACACGTTGGCTCTGTGGTGGGGGTGGTCACTGCCCTCGACCCGGACACAGCGAACCACCCTGTCCGGTAACGCATCTGCCCCAACCTGGCATCGTCCCCCTCCCCGCGGCGCGCGCAGGGTCACTGCGAGGGACACGCATGGCCTGGGGGGAGGGAATCGTGGCCGTGGCTGGGGTGGAGGAGGCAGGACAGTGCAGGTAAAGGTGGCAGGTACTGCACATGTGGCCAGGTGTGTGAGAGTGTCTCGTGGGACGGGCAGGTGGCAGGTGAGTGGCAGCCCGTGCACAGGCAAGCGCAGCCGCCTCGCGGGTGACAGAGACATCGCTGACAGGTGATGGGTTTGTGAGTGCAAGGGAGCGTCAGGGAAGGTGGCTTGGGGGATGCTTGTGTGTCCTTGCTGCTGACAGCAGGGTGTCTGCAGTGGTGCCTGACACAGGCCAGGCTGTAGGAGTGGCAGGAGGACAGTGGTGAAGGATGATAAATGAGGTGAGGCTTGGGAGGTGCAGAGCCACAGCCTGGCTGTGTGTGCGTGCATGTGTGCACAGGATCAAAGATCAGAGGAGTTTATATTTGGGCAGGGGACATAATCCAGGCAGCAGCTTATCTGCACAGGACATTTCCCATTTCCATTTAATTTGTGGCTAAAGAGATTGTTACCTTGTTAAATTGTTATTACCTAAGGCACAAAGCAGCCTTCTGGCTCTGCCAACTGGCCTGAGTCACGAGCAGTTGGGTTGGAAATCTGGTGTTCAGAAAACATCCTCAACGTGTGGAAAATTTCCTTGAAATGTGTGTTCTGGTGCCAGGTGCCAGTGGGGCTGCAGGCACCCGTGGAGCCTCTCCCTTCCAGGGAGCAGCAGTGGCTTTGCACTGAGAGCTCTGCAGAGAGGGACAGGGATGTGAGGTGGAAGGGGCCAGGCTGGGGAGGGCTCAGTTACAGCACTGGTTGCTGGGTGCCTGCTGGGTAATGCACCGCTTCACAGTGGGGTGAGGGAGGATCTCCTGATCTTCATGAAAACGAAGACTGAGATGGTTAGAAAGCTCAGAAAAGGATTTGCACGTGGAAAGCTGCCATCCACAGATGCCTGGCAGCTAGCAAGAGAGTACTGTGTCACAAAGCTGGATGCTGAAAGTTGACTTTGGGGTGATCGAGGATGAAATCAGCCATGGCGTGCCAGGAACTGTGTGTGTGAGTGCTGCACCACTTGCACTACTGGGTGCTGACTGTTGGATGTGTTCTCGACACACCTCTGCTCACCTCGTGTGACTCTCCAGTCAGGCCATGTGTCTGACTTCTTTCTGGCCTCTGAGCATGTGGCTGTCAGCTCACACCCTTCAGGAGCGTGGTCTCTCCCCATGTCTGTGTGTGTGCACGTGTGTGCATGTGCTTTTTCACTTGACTGTTTCTGTCAGTGCTACAGAACATAGATTTTATTTTCTGACCTGTAATTGTAGGAAAGGGGCTTTGGAGACAGAACTCTTCTCATTCTTGTTTTTTCTTGTTCTTCCTGCCGCTTCCCTGTGGAGCTTGCTGCATTGTTTGCAGACAGACCAAAAGAAAGCAGAGGAGGGAGGCTTTCTACTGCTGTGCAGATGGCTGTGGGGACTTTAACCAGAGAGAAGCAGATTCAAGTACTGCACAGGAGCAAGATGCTTAGAGCCCAAACTTTGCTATGGGAGTCTCTCCTATGATGAGCTCAGTGCCAGACTAGGCAATGCCTCGTGCTCAGGCACAAAAACCCAGCCAACAGGACTCCCAGGCATCTGCTGCAGCTTGGGAATTGCCATGTGTTCTCCCTTGTCAGGCTTGATGCATTCAAATACTTGTCCTCCCTGCAGCTATCCCCAGGCAGGTAGCTCATCCTGTGTCCCCCCATGTTCCCCTGGGACACTTTGTCTCTCTCTGTCCATCCCTTCACTCCCTCTCCTCTGGCAGTCCCTGCTGTCAGGAGCCGTGGCAGTGCAGCTAGGTGAGCCTTCCCAGCCATTTTAACGCAGGCCAAGTGCAGAAGCAGGTTGGTGTTGGTCGTGCTGATGCAGCACCAATGCAGGAGGAAGGTGCAGTTGAATCTCTCCTGCTTTCCTGTCCTCCGGCTACCCAGGCAATTTAATAAAATACTTTGCTGCGTAGGCAGCTGTTCAAAGCTTCAAAGTGGTGCACACACATTAATGCCAGCACCCTGCAGCACCAGGATGTGACAATAACCCGTCAGCAGGAGACGGCAGGAAGTCACCTCGCGTTTCAAGTGCTCTGCTCCGGAGTACAGTCACAAAAAGCCAGCACTTGTACTTCACCTCTGATACGTTAGAGAGCAACTGGTCCTGACAGCATGACCAGCATTTGATCCTCGACTCCTTGAAGTTGGAATGAACCCTTTGAAGTTGCTGCAGTTCGGTGGATCCCTTTAACTTCCTGCTCCTCGTCTGCCAGAGGTGGGAGCAGAGGCACGACTGTGCTTCTGCAGTGGCTGCTCTCCTGGACTCTGCTCTCTGCGTTGGCTCTGCCTGTAAATAGCAGAGAGCCACAGCCTCCTGTCATTTCGAGATGCACTCTCCCCTTGAGGAGGGAAAGAACAAGGATTGCCAGAGACAGCAGAGCAGAAATCAGCTCTGTCAGGGTTTCCAGGTCCTGCTGACACCAGGCTGCCAGTAACGAGGTTTGGAGGGTATTTTTAGCCAAATGGGAAGGGAGGTGCCCTTGTCTCTTTGTTTCCAGCCTCAGGCCTGCACGAACAGGGCTGTGTGATGCCTACTGTGCTGCCCAAAGCTGCTGCCCAGAGGCACATTCCAGCCTGGTGGCTCCCCTGCCCTCCTGGTGATCCCACAGAATGTGGTCACTTGGTTTGAGAACAAATCCCACCCCACAAGCCAGGCTGGGTGGCAGTGACCTGTTACAAAGATGTGAAGGCTGAAGAGGTGTCCAGCTCCCCTGTTCTTTGAGGGGCATCCCTGAGGCACTGCCTGCTGCCCCCCTCCAGCTGCACGTGGCTGCAGAGCCCCTGGCACCTCCTTGCCTTGGGCAGGAGGGAAGCTGGGGCACCCAGAGAGCACCCCGTATCTCAGAGCAGGCCACCCTCCCAGTGACATCAAAGGGAGCCACGCTGAGCTCAGCATGAGGAGCTGCGTGAACCTTTGCGGGGCACAAACCCCGCTGTGGGTATCGGTGTGGGAAATGCCCTTCTGAAGGTCCGCTTCCTTTTATTTTGTTCCATCCTTGTATTTTTTTGCCTATCAAAAGCTGCAACTGTTCCTTTTCAGAACAAATTTAGTTTCCAGTTGGCTTTTTGGCTTTAGCTGTGTATTTTCCGGGCGTAGTGCAGTCTTTCTCAGCTGAGCCATTGTATGAAGTAATACAGTGATAGACTGTCTGTGTATGTGAGGCTGTTTGTATGGGAGCCTTTTGTTTCTCTCTCTGCAGCGGGAGCCTGTGCTCTGATTGTGTATGTTCCAGGCTTTATCAGCACTGGGAAGATGCTGCTTGGGATTTAAGGTTCTCCGAGATATTCTTGTTTGGCGTTCGCCAAATCCGGAGACACGTGTTGGACATGGGCATTTTATAGACTCCAAGAGCACAGCAAGAACTACAACCTGCTTCAACACAAAAGGGAGAGGAGGAAAAACCAAACACAACAAAAAGCTTTTCACACAGTGTTTGAAAAGCTCCCTGTTAACAAAACACATGGCTTAAAATGTGCTCCTCGGTGCGTTCGGGGGAGAAGTGAAACAAACTGCTTGAGAAATGCATTCACGAGGAAGATGAGCACCAAGAAAGCTGTCGAAATTAAACAGTCACTTGTAACATCCAAAACCAACAGGCAGTGCCAGCAGGAAGAGAGGGAAATGGAGTACAAGGTCCGCATCCCAATCAGAGCTGGGGACTGCGGTTCCAGATATGGAGCACCAGCTGCAGGAAGGATGAGCACAGGTCCTGTCTCTGAGTGTCTGGAGGATAAGGGATTAAGTGATGCCTCTTCCCAGGTGGAAAACACCGTTTAACTTCAGTGGGACTGGTGATTACATGAAGCTGGAGGAGCAGAGGTGGAGAGGCTGGTTGGTGGAGGTCATATTGCACAAAACGATGGGAATGAGTGCAGCGGGATGAGCCTCCGTGGCATTTGGACCCGCAGGGAGCTGCAGACCCACCTCCACAGGCACAGTGCGTGGCAGCAGGCTCAGCCCTTCTCCTCATCTCCTTCCCCAGTTCATGCTAAGGAGGTGGCCATTCTTTGAGGCAGTGGTGATCAGATTTCTGGTTTGGTTTGTGCCTGCCCAAGGGGTACAGGCAGTCTGCCCTCAACAGACAATTCAGAAGCGACAGAAGACAATCTCAACAGCAAAGCAATGAGAAGCGTAAGGACAGGTTCTTGGTGGCATGACATGGAGCGCTCCCTGCCATCCTCCTGCCCTCCAGCCAGGCGGGCAGACCTGTCAGATGTGTCTGGGCTTGGGGTTTTTCCCATCACTAACTGGGTTTTAGTGTGTCTCCCGTCGCTACCTGGGTTCTTCTGTGTAGATATTTTTCACAGACATCTCTATGCAGCAATGACACAAGAGTGATCAAAACAGGCATGTGCTTACTCAAGAAACTGGGAAGTCATGGAGAGGAGGGTGAAGTACCATCTTGAACTTAACAGTATGAAAAAGCAGAATGGAAGGCAGGACATGTTCGAGGTCGGGTGATGTGGGAGAACAATGAAAGCGGTTATGTAAATACATCAGTTATGCTGTTGGGAAGGTATTGGGTATTGTGATCCCAATTTCTGTTCCTCTTCCCAGCAGAACATCGAACTGATGTACAATTCAGAGTAGCTAGACCTCTTCTTTCCCTTTGCAGAGAGCAAGCTCAGAGTGGATGAGAGGCTGTGGTACGTGCCAAGAGTGTCACTGTCCCTTCTGGAACTGGCTGTGTGCCTGTAGAGGCTCTACTTCCAGCTGGGAGTTGGGGCAGAAAACACAGGCAGTCCCTGGCAGTTAGCTTGGAGATGCCTGAGCATGTACCTGGCTTTGTGTGACAGATGTCCATCTCCTCGAAATGCCAGGGGGGAGGAGGCCACATGGGTGCAGAATGTGCTAGAATGTGGCTGTGTGCAAATACATCTTAGACAGTGCCTTCTGAATGTCTTTCTTTAGATACAAGCTGTTGTATTTTTTCTCTCGTTCCCCCATCTGTCTGAAAGAGAGAGGGCTAGAGAATGTAACATGGAACTGAATAGCACATTAAACAGCACAGGAACGCCTTTGTGTGTGCCTCCATCAGAGACAGAGCTGTGGGGATGGACAGGGGCTTTGCAGGAAGCAGTCCCACCTGCAGAACAGCACAGGGCCATCAGTGGTCATCCTTGCATGCAGAAGGTGAGCTGGTGTTCCTCAGCTGGCAGCCACGTGGATGATGGACCCACAGACCACAGCTGGCCTCTGGTTGCCACACACAAGCCCTTGGGAAAGCTGCCCTGCAGCATGCAGAGCACTTCCCCCATCCTGAACCTGCTGCTGGCCTGGATGGAGCCTGTCCTGCTCTGCTCCTGTCCAGTGGGGCTTCTCAGAACTGTCCTACCTCATCAGCTTTCCAGTTTGTTTTGTCCCTACATTTATCTTCCTTCTGTGGTTGAACATGTGACTGAAGGCTTTAATTTATTCACAGCCCTCCTTTTGGTAATTTATCCTTTGTACTCTTTGCTGTCTTGTATTATTTAATTCTGTGAAGCACTCTGGGATTCAGTGTGTGTGAAAGATGCTGTACACAATAACATTATGCTGTATTGTTTGTGATTTGCAGGCCTTCTGGATTTCTAATTCTGATTGCAGCGGTGGTGTGTGTTATTTGTGCTATGGCTGTGCTCAGGGGCCTCAGCTGGACTGGACTTCCCTTCCAGCCCCTTCCCCCAGGAACTCACATCTCATTGTGCCCTGATTTAATGTTGGTTTGCTTAATTCTGTGTGTAATGGCTGCAAGTGCAGGGCATGCCACTGGGACAGGTGTGGGCTTGTGGTGTCGTGGTGAGGGCGTGGGATTGAAGCTGGTGTGTGACTCCTTGTGAGCTGTGGGGTTGCCCTCGGGGAGAGGTGGGAATCAGGTTCTCCAGAGGTGGCACAGGGAGCATCTGAGCTCCAGCCCTCGGGGAGGGGGTTGTTTGAGGCAGCACTGGAGCAGCTGAAGGAGAAGAGTCGGAGCTGCCTGTGAGAAGTCTCTGCTGAGCAGTTGGGGTGGAGCTCTTCAACCTGTTCCTTGTGGGAGTGGGAAGCTCAAAATAGGGCAAATCTCGGGGCTGCTGGCATGATGTGCTGTGTTGATGGGGGGATGCTGGCTGCTGCCCACCTCTCTGCTGCCAGGATTGCTGCACCAGTTGCACAGGTTCGGTGTGGGTGCAGAGGAGATCTCATCCCTTGTGCCTGCTGTTGCTGCAGTTCAGGGTGTCCACAGGCCTGGCTCACACGTGCTGCTGTGCTGCACTCCAGGTCTCTTGCTGGGGTGGATGTGGTGGCAGGATCAGCGGAGAGGGCAGTAGGTGAGGTGCACTCCTCGAGCAGGGGCGCTTGGCTTCAGTTTGGGTTTGTGCTTCTCCTGAACCTGCAGCTCTGAAGCTTCCCAGAGTCATGAGTGAAGTTACAGCCCACGATTTCTGTATCGCTCTGCCTATCCAGAGCATAAGGTTCCCATCAGAGCAGGTTTTTCCCCTTGTCCACAGTCTGTGCATAGTTCCACTTCATGCACCGAAAGCCACATTTTCATTCGACTTGAGAGCTCTGGGCTTCCAGCCTGGTAGAAACATGCCCTTCATGTGCCATCCTGCATCACAGGACGGTGGGAGAGGTGAAGGAGGGCCTGCTGTGTTGTATTCCAGTATTTCTGGGGCTGATGGACAGGGTGGGCTTGGCACACCCAGCTGCTCACGGTCTCCCCTTTTGCCTGGTCACAGGTACGCCATCGACCGCAGCACGGACACCGAGAGGATCTTTGACATCGATGCCAAAACAGGTGCTATTGTGACAGGAAAGGTCCTGGACCGGGAGACGGCAGGGTGGCACAACATCACTGTCCTGGCGATGGAAGCAGGTGAGGTGGAGGAGTGCTGTGTGGAGAGGCAGAAGTACGGGTGCTGTCACTGCAGGGGTGGCCAAGGCGCCAGCGTTAATCAACACTGAAGTAAAAAACATGAATGCAGCAGCACTGAGCCTGACATCTCCCTAGACAACCTAAAAATACTCTCCCAGACTCGAGCATTAATAAGGGAGCATGGTCGAATAGTATATTTGATGAACACTAATCAAATTTGTGATATCTGTGCGCCGTCTCTGCCAGTCATCCCTGTGCAGCTCGTTCCCTGCAGTCACACCTGCTGAGTGGCACTGGGGGCTCCCCAGGGGGTGCTGTTCACCTCACCTGCAACCCCCAAAACCAGTCATGTGCTGCCTGTGGATGTCCCATCAGCTGGAGCCCTGTGGCACTGAGTGGTGTCAGCACTCACTCTACTGGGGCTCACAGTGCCTGGGATCCACGGTCTGTACCTGCCCCTGGGGTTGTAGCTCTGGATGCCTCCTGTGCCCTTGGGGTGGTGCAGCCTTGGCACAGAAGGAGTGGATGGGAGGTCCCAGCACTGCAGCAGTGGGAGGGGACTGTGGGGGCAGAGTATCCCAGGCATCATGCTGGGAAACACAAAGGCGTTGCCATATTCTTCCAAGTTTTACATATTTTGGACATGGAAGTCACCAGGGCAGGCTGGGCTCTGCCTCCCACCCCACAGTGGGTACCAGGGAGCCTCTGTGGCTGCAGAGCACGTCCTGATGCCTGCTGGTGTGCGCCAAGACCTGCCTGTCTGTGGGTAGCAACCTTGCCCAGGCTTCAGTCCAGGAGATTCTCAGAAGTTCTGGTTCTTGGTTCTTTGCTTGTTCTTGAGCACTGAAGGTGCTGTTCACGTTCAAGGAGCTGAGTCAGGGCCTGACTTGGGTCCCAGAGGTCAGATCTTGCCACCCACTCCTGCAGGCAACAGCAGAGGCCCCGTGGCCCGGGGAGAGGACAGTCAGTGGCCCTGGACAGACCCCATTCCCAGGGGGATGTCTCTGGCTCTGCCGTGTGTCACAGCCCCTCTGTGCTGACACTGTGCTGGCTGACCGGGGTCACCCTGCGCTCTCTGGCTGTGGTGCTGTCGTGGCCTGGGGATGAGCGGGTGTGCTGACACTGCCTGGCCATGTCAGAGGGAGGGCAGCCCACTGCTGATCCATGGCTTGTCCTGGGGGGCTCCACAGGGAGGCTCTGCTGGGAAAGGGGGGATGGCGGCATTGCAGCACAACTCAGCATCCAGAGGAAACGTGAGGTGACAAGAATCAGAAGGACAATATTTACACGCAGTGGCTAGGATTTCAGAACAAGTCAGTAAATGCTGTGGCTCCCCTCCGGCAGGGAAGCCTGTCAGGCTGGATCGCTTCAAAAACCAGGGAGACTCTTCAGTGCTCTGACTTCTCCCATGGTGAGCTCTGACTCATCCGTTTTAACTGCCCAGACATCCCTCCCAGTGACATTATCCTTAACGTTTTGTAATCATGAAATATTAATGACTGATATTGAATTTAAAGTACGATTTATGTCTGAATCCTCTGGCGGAAAGGGCAGTTGTAAAGGTACAGCCTTCTGAGTGATGGAGGGGTTTCGGAGCGGGGCTGTGCAGCAGTTGTCAGGCTGTGCCTGGTGAAGTGGGGTCAGCCACAGCAGTGGGAACGTGGGATGCAGGGGGGCTGGGAGTCTCCACGCTGGCATCAGCACAGCCAGCAGTGCAGTTCCCAGCACACAGGTGTTGGAGTTCTCACCGTGGGCATGCAGGGTCTGCTGCACCAGGCTGGACCTTACCAGCCACAGCAGAGGCAAGTGGTGAAATATTCCCTTCCCTTAGTGAGATGTAAACTTGGCAGGAGGAATGGAACAAGCCAACTGGGCGTCCTGCTGCCCAGACTCGTGCCTGGTGCCCCGGCTCGTTGGGGATGGTGGGAATCCATGACCGCCCGATTCCCACAGTGCCAGGCTCGCTTGATTCCCGCAGTGCCAGGCACAAGATGTTGCGTCCCTGTGGCCGCCTCGAGCTGCCCTCCCAGTCTGCTGGCAGGGCTGTCCTGAGCAGGGTTTGACCGCTGGTGGCTGAAGGACAGACAGCCCTCTGGCAGCACCTCCTCCGTGCAGGAGCTGTGCCCTGACCCTGGAGAGCCCTGTCCTGGAGCAGACACCGTATCCAGGGGCACATGTCCCACCTGCAGACATCACAGAGTGCATTTGCCTCTGAGAGCAGTAAGAAAAGCTGCAGAAGGTGCCTGGCTGTGCCCATGAGCCGGCTGGGCTGCTGCTGCTGTGGGAGGAGGGGGGGCAGCTCTGCCCTCCCCACAACCAGGCACCCCCAGCATGAGCTGCCTCAGCCAGCCCGGGACCACTGGAGCGTTTGGCCTCGCAGCGTGGCAGCTGGCAGGAAACATGGGGGCTGTTCAGCTAATCTGGCCTGGGACCAGGCCAAGCATTTCCACAGATAAATCTTCATCTTGCTCGCAAGCTGTTTACCTTCCTTGGGCTAATATTAGTGATTCTCTTCCTGTTTTCCTCTTTGCTCATGTAAAATGATGAGGCCTTGACTGCTGTGTCCACTGTTGGTAATTGAGATGATAAATCTTCCTGCTGGAGACTGGCTTTAATCAGAGCATTGTGTTTGGATGCGATTTAATGACTCTCATGCTGCTGAGTTTGGGCAGGACTCAGGAGAGGTGAGAGCCATTTATGTGTTACTTGGCTTAACTGCTGCTTCCACTTTGTATCCCCTCAGCTGGGAGCCACGTTCTCAGCTCCAGCCTCTGATGCAGCCACCTGTCAGATGAGCCGTACCCCTGGCATGCCCCTGCTCCGTCCTTGCCATCAGAGCTCTGCTTTGCAGGCAGGACCTGCACCAACAGCTCCAAACCCACCCTGTGCTCCACAGCCGTGGCATCGGGGCTGGAGAGCAGAGCGGCCCACCCCAGCTTTCTGCTCTGCATTTTGTTTTCCCAATTTGCGGAGGTAGCGAGGAATAAATTCCGCTCCTGCCTCTTCTGGCTTTCCTTACTAATGTAAAAAATTTGAATTCAGGGTATTGCAGCAATTTGGTGTTGGCACAGGAGAGCAGGTCGTCCACTGTGCCCAGCAGCTGGGCTGCCCCAGAGAAGCTGCTGATGCCCTTTGGGGTGTGATGCCCTGCCCGGCTCTGTGCAGGCAGGAGGGCAAATGGCACGTGTGCCTCGGCAGTGGCTGGATTTGGAGCTCCACGGGAAAGGTTTGGGGGTAAAAATGCAAAGTGCTTTACTGTGAGTTTGTGTGTGGGTTTGGAGGGGTAATAACTGGATCCCAGCACAGTAACCACTGGGCCTCTCCTTTCCTGCCATGGCAGGGGTTGCTGAGCATCCCTGGTCCCCTCCCATCCCTGTGAGCAGCTCCTGCAGAGCTCTGGTGTTGGTGAGCAGTTGCCCAGGACTGCCCAGTGTTGATCCTGTTGGCACTCAATCGCCCACAGCTCAGGGAGAGGGCAAGTTGGCATTTTGTGTCTGAACGTTCAAGATGAGAATGTCGTCCTGTTTGGATTACTGCCATGATTAATTAAATTGAGAAAAATACTTTGGGATATGGCTGAAGCATTTGAGTGTTGAGCCCGAGTGTTGCTGCGCAGCAGGACTGTGACCATCTCCTGCTCCAGAGTCCCAGCACTGCCTGTCCTGTCCCAGCACTGCCTGTCCTGTCCGAGTTCTGCCTGTTTTGCCATGTGGCACCTGGGCATGGGGGGTCTAGCTGGCACTCAGTTCGTGCCCTGAACCGTGCTGGTAGTTGAGTTGCAGCAAGTGCAGATGCAGCAGCGTGGAAGCGCTGGGCAGGATTCCGTCCCCCACCCACGGCAGCTCCAGTGGCTCTGAAATAATTCTTCCCATGTTGGCAGAGGCAGCTGCCAGTCACCAGCCTGGATCTCCCGTACTGCACGGCTGTGCTTCCAGCATCTCCCTCTTGCTCTGTGTGTTTTCCATGTCTCTTTCCCCAGTCTTTTCAGATTAATAGCATACCAACTCCTGAAGGAAATGCAGAAAAACGGCATGTTTAATTTTAATTTAGGAAAGCGTTTAGGTAGCAGCCTAGTTTCCTCGCTGCTGTCAATCAGGTTTTCTCAAGGCTGACATCAATTAGTTTAAAAATATTGAATGTAATTTTGCCTGACACAACATATTGCAGCCACTGCAAAATATAATTTATTTTAGAAGAAGAAATAATTAAACTAATTTGCATGTCAGTCAGCTGAGCTGGAATACCGAGGAGAGACGCTGCAATGGAAGATGGCTTTTTAAATTTCCAGTTTGCCCTCAGCCTGCACGTGCCACCCTCGCCCCGGCCGTGGGGCAGGTGCTGCTTGGCAGAGCCCTGCGAGGGCAGGTTGCTGTGTGCCACCCGTGCAAAAAGCTTCACCCGCCCCCTGTGCTGCCCCTCCTGGCACTGGGACCTGCTTGCTGAGCCTTTGCTGGTGTTCTGGAGCACGTGCTGGGTGCCAGCACACAGGCACAGAAAGCGCGGGTCAGAGTTTCTGGCCTCGCAGACTCGAAGCCTGCATTAGCCAAGTGCTTTGTTGCCTTTCATCACAGATGTACTCCCGACAATCTCGATCGCGCTTCTTGCTGTCGCAAATTCGGTTTGTGCCGCGCAGTTACAGAAAACATATTTCAGATGTTTCGAAGATAAACTTTTATCGAATACATCCAACCATTTTTCATATCTCCCACCCGTGAATCCGGGTAGTGGCTCAGAGGAAGAGGGAGATTGATAAAGCATTTGGGGAACCTTTAAATATATGCTGTACAGCCAAAATAAAAAGCAGTGGATGTGGGCCTCGCTGGAAAGGTAGACAAGAGTGCAGTAGTTGCATTTTTCACCTTGACATGTCAAATTTTAACCCCGTCACTGACCCAGGAGTGAGCGTGAGCCTCAGGCTTCAGCAGTTTTGGAAGGACCGAAAGGAGAGCTTTTGTACGACAGGGTGCATTAGGAAAGGTCACTGTGCTGTGCCCAGGGGAGGTAAGGCTGTGCCCAGGCAGGGTGGGTGCAGGTGCCCAGCTCTGTGCTGAGGCTGTGGGTGACTCTGCCTGTGTGTGTGGCACAAAGCGCTCCTGGGAGCTGGAGCTGTGGAAGATCACAGACCTGTGGTTCTGCTTGGCTCTAAACATGCTGATCACATCCCTTCTGAGGGACATGGGGAGGTGGTCTCGAAGAGAAGCTGCCGCGCTCAGGCTTACCTGGGTGCCCAGAACTGGCCCTGCGGAGCCTCCGTGGCACCCAACAGGTCCTGAGGAGTGTTTGGCAGCACTGGGATTGGCTCCTGCTCCCAGCTGGCTCAGATGCTGTGGGGCACTGAGGGAGGAACCCCACTCCTTTGGGTTACAATTAGAAAGGTGAAGAGGTGGAGTCTTGGTCTCTTCCTCCCTTCAGGCTCTTCTTCCTCCCTTCTCTTTCTGCCTTTCCTCATGTTTTGGCAGTGCCAGCTTGCTCCAGAGCTGAGCAGCAAGGGTGGTTATCCACCTTCCTGTGGGCTGAGGAGGGGGTGATGAGATGCTGTTGTCCTCCTTCTTGCAGGAATTGGACCCTTTTTCCTCCTGCTCATTTGTGGGCACCAGCCGTGCACCCCTCCACCTCCCCAGGCTCCCTTCTCGCCCTGCTGCCTCCCCCTTTCTCTCCCCCTGAAAGCAACTGCAGTTTATTTCACTGCACCAACATGCCTTTTAAAATAACACATAGTTCCAGGCTTTTAGTCACGACTTCTGCCTCCCTCCCCCAAAAACAACCATCTAATCACCAGAGCAGCTGGTCTGGGTGAGAGGGAGTGATAACATGAGAACGGGGTGAAGGCAGCTCTGGGAAGGGGGCTTAGATTCCCAGCTAATTATGGAGCAGAGCTAAATCTCCTCTCCCCTGGGTCCTCCCCCACCTGATCTGCAGGGGACAGTATTAATGTTATAGACAAACAGGCAGCAGAATTCCTGCCTGAGCGTGGAGAGAGACATTAGCTCTGTCACAGGTGCAACTTCTGGGTAGAACAAAGGAGTTGGAGTAAGAGGGAGTTCTCATTTCTGGACATGTATGAGATGCTTCAGCAAGCATCAGTCCCTCCAGAGTGATTTATAATCCTGTGGCACAGTCTCAGCGTCCCTTGGAAGTTGTGCACATGGCAGTGACGCTGCAGTGAGTGGAGGTGTAAATGCTGTCCCTGTCCCACCTGTGGACTGAACCTGTCCCAGCCAGCAGCTCTGTCCACCCCAAGAGAGGAGGGGAGTGGGCTGTGAGCCCCTGGGACCACTGCCTGGGGCTTATTTCCTGAGTGACTCCCCTCGTGCCAGCTGGCTGATGGTGCTGGGTTCAAGTTGAAGCTGCTGATGACAGTACAAAAAGCAGTGTCAGCATGAGAGGCCTGTATCCCTGGGCAGGAGCCCTGTCCTCAACAGGACACAGTCACCACCAGGTCACCTGGGTGTAGAGGAGGTGGAGGGACAGATCTATCTCACCACCACCCCGTGCCCTCAGGTGATCTCAGCTGTTTCACACGCCAACTCTGTTCACTCAGCTCTCGGATGTTGCTGCCAGCCCCCAGGGCCTGTGGGTTAGGATCCAGGTCAGGGGGTGATGTTCTCCCATCCAAACCTTCTTGTCCCCTCTCTCTGCTGTTTGGCTGCAGCACAGATCCTCACCAGTGGTGACTGACCCTTATGGCCAGGACTTGCTCCAGGCTGTTCAGCACTTCCATGGGTAGATCAGGCTGACGGTGATGTCTCTTGAGTCCTTGGCACACAGCCCAGCAGTTTTGATTCTTTGCAGGGAGCGGTGAGGCTGAGTGATGCTCTACAGGTGCTGCTGTCCTGGAGATGGTCCGTGCCACAGGCAGAGATGTGGTGCTCTGTGACCCTCAGTGCTCTGTGACCCTCAGTGCTCTGTGACCCTCAGTGCTGTGTGACCCTCGGTGCTGTGTGACCCTCGGTGCTCCATGACCCTTGGTGTTGGCTGCAGCCACACAGCTGCCAGACAGGGGTCGGGGGGTGTTGCTCACTGACAGCAGTCAGCAGTTTGTGCTGAAGCTCTGCTTCTCTTCCTGTTTCAGATAATCACTCACAGGTGTCCAGGGCCTCTCTCCGTATCCGTATCCTGGATGTCAATGACAATCCACCTGAACTCGCCACCCCGTATGAAGCCGCTGTGTGTGAGGATGCCAAGCCAGGCCAGGTAGTGGGTGTCCCCCAACCCCAGTCTTGTGCTGCAGGCAGTGCTCTGGACCAGTGCCAGCCTGCCAGTCCATCCCCTTCTGCCTGAGACTCTTCCCATGCAGCCCCTGCCACGCTGGGGATCACTCTGCCGGTGTCCCACAGCCGAGCCCATCCGCAGGGGCAGAGGCTCATCCCACTGGCTGGACCCTGCATGCAGGACCCTGGGAGAGGCTGCAGAGGCAACCCTGGTGCTCACCTCTGCCTTCTCCCCACAGTTGATCCAGACAATAAGTGTTGTGGACCGGGATGAGCCTCAGAGTGGCCATCATTTCTACTTCACGCTGGCGCCTGAAGCCACCAACAACCACCACTTTTCTTTGCTGGATATCCAGGGTAAGTCCTGCTGCGCCCCTGGCCCATCAGCCCTTGGGCTGAGCGGCACATCTGGCTGTGGGGAGGGAGATGGGCCGTGGGTTTAGGGTCTGTCTGTGCCTGGTGGAACTCCAGGTGCTTTGGGCATGCCACAGGGCTTCTTGCCAATTTGAAAGGATGGGACCGGTCAGCTAGCAGCTTGGATTTCCTCAAGGAGGCTCTGCCAGCTTTATTACCTGCTGCAAGCAGCTCCAAAGCTCCTCTCGTGCTGTCTGGTTAAGCCTTTGGTGTTTTCAGGGCTCTCAATCCCTTTCTTCACGTGGAACCCCCAACCCGCCTGCAGGCGAGGAGATGATGTGGATTTATAGATGAACACACGTTTTGAGCACTATGATTTATTCCTCTACAAGGTAAATCCTGGAGTGTGGGTCATCCTGGGGCTGCCTGACAAACAGGCAGTGGGGTCACAGCACAGCCAGCCCGTGGCCATGGTGGGTTCTCTGGGATGCATCTTCACAGCCTGATTCCCTGTGAGATGACAGCTCCAGGATGCAGTTCCTCTGCATTTCCTGGGTCTCATCCTGTCCTTTGGGACATGCAGCCAGGCATGTCTGTTCCTCTGGGTTTCTCTGTGTCCCTGGGCTCAGTGGCATTTGTGCAGACAATAACAACCCAGAAGAGTAGTTATCAGGCTATTTTTGACTGGTGTTTAGGGTGAATTTAGGTGCTGATTGCAGCAGTAGGTAGAGCAGGGAGCCCTGCAGATACTGGGACCTTCTCCAGCCAGATGTGCATGCACTTGTCACGGAGGCCAGCCCTGATGGAAGCTAGCAGATCACATTGAAATTCCTCTTTGGTTTTGGTTGGGTTTTCTTTTAAAACCATTTTCTGTCTCTGCTTTTGCAGCTTCATCTGTCAAAAGTCTGGTTTAGTTTGTTCCAGGCTTATCAGGGGAGCCTTCTGCTGACGTAAGATCCTGCTTGCTCAGTTCGGTTCCGCATTATTAGGGATAGTCAAAATGGAAAAGCTTCAGATGTGATGGTAGAAGGGCTGGGTATTGTTTTGTGTCCTGAGAAGCTCGACTGTCCCTGACCTTAGCCCCTCCCCCTGTGCTCGGGGGGCAGATGTTTACAAGACCTTTGCTTCTTATCATGTAAGGCTTTAATCCCCAGCAAGATTTTGCCCCACACCCAGCGATTAACTTCCCTCACTTTCTCTGAAGGACCTTTTGAAAATGTGCTTGAGTGCACTGAGCTACACCCGGGTGTCCATCCCTGCCCAGACCCTCACGGGGCTCCAAGGAGCCCAGGGCTGTGCTCTGCTATGGCCAGTTTGCCATCCCAGAGCCACCACTGCTGCGCTGCTGATCTGGCAGGACACGTGGCCAGGGGTGGCTGGGGTTTAGCAGTGGCTGCTTGGTTTCCCAGCCCTGTTTGGGCCTCTGGGGTCCCCCAGCAGAGCTGGAATTGTAGTAGATGCAGGACAGGGGCTCGTGTGTCACCATCTCCCCTGGAGCTGCTGCTCTCTTGAGTGGGACGAGGCTCTCGTGGCACGGGGTAATCCTTTGTGCTAAACGATCCCTCGCGCTCTGCGTGTGGTGTAACACTGCATAAAATGAGTAAAAGCTGGCATCACCTCCGCCTCCTGCTCTGGGGAAAACAAATGTTGTTGCTGCAGGGTTGTTCCCAGAGTGTTTGCAGACCCTCCTGATTGCTGAGCAGTGCTGTCTTCCACGGCAAGGCGGAGGTGGCTGCCTGTGCAGATGGAGCCACCCCTCATTTCTAGCAGCCGTGGGTCTTGGTGCCATCTCCCTCCCTTTGATTTCTGCCCCCTCCTTCAATTCATCAAGTGCCCTTGAGTACGCTCGCCTTTGCCCCTGCTCTCACAGGTCCCCCTGCTGCATCCTCCCTTGTGTTCCTCTGCTGCTTCCCCTCTCGTGCATTCACCCCTCTTGCACTTGTCTCTACTCCCCCACATAAATATCAGTGGTGACAAACTGCTACCACCAGCCCATCTGTTTCTTTGTACAAATTTGTAGCCAGTTTTGAAACGTGATTTATAAATATTGCTTTTGCAGCCAAGGAGTGACACTGATGGATGTCAGCACAGATGGATTTGCTAAGCTCCTGCTTAAATCCTCTCTTTTCTATTGCACCTACTCCCCTCGGCAGCAGAAAGCCACCTCCAGAGGTGACTTGTCCTCAGCACCCCCTTGGGAGTGCTGCTGTAGCAGTTGGTTGGGCAGGGCAGGAGAGGCCGTGGTGGGGCTGCTCAGGGCGAGTGTGGGGGGCTGTGAGCTGCCAGAACAGTGTTGGGGCTCCCTCTGGGCGTCCCCCTCTGCTGTGGGGTCTGCTCGGGCAGGCACCTTGCTGGGCAGAACTGACCCCGTGCACGGCTGGGGAAGCAGAGCAAGCAAGGCAGGCAGGTAAAGGTTCTAATCCAGAGCCCTGTCGTGCATGTGGGACAGGCCAGATAGGGCTGGAGGGTACACTGAGCACTGCCAGGTCTCTTTTGAGGCTCCTTGGAAGCAGTGCCAGTGCCCTGCTGGTATCTCTCTACTGGTATCTTTCTTTCCATGCTTTTGCTCTGCCCGAGGGGACTGCTCACACACTTCCCAATTCATCAGAACAAAGAACAAATGTCACCTGCGGTAACAGCAGTCACGATCCAGAAGGAAGATGCCCAACAAATGGAATGTCTAAAGGAAGAGATGGAATTAGAGAAGCTGACCACGCTCAGGTCCAACTGGTGCCATTCCAAAGACATTTGCCATCCTCTGTCTCCTAACTCGCCTTTTGCTGGGCCTTTCTGGTCCGAGAAAATTGATTACAGAAGGATCAGAGGCAATTAAAGCCTGAAATCATGTTCTCCAAGAAATGCTAATTGTGTTGGAAGGAATGGTAGAAAGCATCCAAGCCCAGCAACCTGGAAGGAGTGCTAGGTAATGTGGAGTGACACATGGAGCTACTGACTCCAGGGCTCAAGGGCTCGGCAAGCAGATGTCTGAACTCTCTGCAGGTCTCATTAAGAGCATGTAATGGGTGATAGAAGATCTGAAAATTGTAACAATCAAAAGCGAAATGTTAGGATTTGAGGACTGCCTGAGGACAGAGGAAGCCTCTTCCAGCCCCGCAGGGATGCCGCTCTCAGCACAAGCAGCGCAGATGCAGATTTGACCAGGGGGTGGGGTCTGTGTGTAAAAGAGCATCGAACCTCCACGGGGCTGAGCAAACAGCGAAGGAGCAGCAGTGTTGCTGTGGGCTGGCACCCTGAGAACTCGGGAGGAGGAAGAGGCAAAAGGGAAAAACAGGATGTTCCTTCCACCAGCTGCACCACCTGGGGCTGGAGGGGGTCTGTTCCCTTTGGGCAGCCCTGGCAGCAGCGTGCCCATGGGCCTGGCCGGGTGCCATGGGCTGCTCCCTGGAGCTGGTGTGCCTGGGCACTGCTGCAGCAGGGCAGCTGCTGGAGAAGGGGAAGGCAGATGCTCACAGGGCCCTGTGAGTGTGGGAAAGGGCAGGGACATCAAAATCCCTCCTGCTCTCCTAGCACTGTTTGAGATTGAGTTATGAGAAGGATTTATTAGTTCTGTCTTTGAGGCTGCCAAGAGCCTATTTGGAGAGGGAGTCTGAGAGACTTAATTGTTTTATTATTCCTAGTGATGTTAAGCTCCCACCAGAGTATATTGTGTTTCTAAACTTTCCTTTAGGGCAGCCTTGATGGGTCCCTGCTCACTCAGCTCATGTTGTTTCCTGCCTTGTCCAGTGACTTGTTCCTCAGGAGGACAGAGGGGCTGTCTCCTGCCTGTCACACACGGTGATGTGATGTGACATGGGATAATGTCACTGTGTGAGCAGGGAGAGGGTGGCAGAGGAAACCTGCAGAGAAAATGTCAGTTTGTGCAACAAGATGGCAGTGATAGCAAATGGTTTGGCTGGGGCATCGCAGGACACTCGGCACAGCCTTTGGAGCGGTGTGACCGCGGCAGAAGGCGCAGCTTTGCGGGGACTGGGCAGGAAACCAAGTGTGGAGACCCACTGTCTGCGCAGGAAAGCTGTGGATTAACGTCTGCTCCCATTCCAGTGTGGGCAGCACTGCTCCCCAGGCTTGTCACCCCAGAAATGGACTTGGCAAGAAGCTGCTGTGGAGGAAGAGACGCGAGGGCTGCGGGGCCAGGCCTGCCCGGGCTGTGCTGATGCAAACCAATCTGCACCAAGGCACATCCTGAAGCAGCTGCTGTGGGCCAGCTGACAGTAAAGAAACAACCAAGAGAAATGACACTGTTTTGTAGGAGGTTGCTTCGGTTATGTCTTCCAGGATACGTTTTCCCAGATCCGGGCAAAATTTTCTTCGCTTCTGTGGTCAAAGGGACTGCAGTTGCATGGCAGCAGCCCCGCTCTTTTTGGAGTATCTCAGAGGGGAACACAGAATTTTGCAAGTAACAGGAGTGCAAACACTCAGCAGACAGTTTTCCATGGTTCTGGAGAGCCTGGGCACAGCTGGAGGGCAGTGGGGAGGGCGGCAGAGCCATTTTGGGTGCCCAAGGCAGCTGGTCCGTGCCAGGCTGGGCTCTGGCTCTCCAGCCTCGGTGAGCAGTGTCACAGGTGCAGATGCGAAATGTCTGCAGATCTCCCTCCTGCAGGAAGGGCTCATGTCACCCTGTTCAGAAGAGAAAATGGAGTTTCATGATGTTTAAAATAGTGTTTGTAGTTGGGATTTTTGTTGCTCCCTTGCATCAAGTTTTGGATCACAGAGCAAACCCTCAGCCCCTTCCTGAGCTGAGGTTTCTCAGAGCAGAGCTGTCTGTCATGCTGCTCATAGATTTAAGTACTGGCTGCTTTATTGTGACTCGGTGGGTTTGGCAGTGGCAATATTTCTCCTTCCCGTCCCTGGAGGTGGGGGCTCAGTGGTGCCACGCTGCCCGAGCCGTCTCAGCTGAGCTGAGGTTGGTGCTTGCCTCTCTGCCACTTGCACGTGTGTTTTCCCTTGGTTTCTAGAGACTGTTTCTAAAAATACAGCGTGGCAGGTCCCTAACAGGAGCTGGAGCTGGCTGTAAACAGCCTCCTGCTGCATTTCTAGAGAGGTTTGGAGCTGGTGCTACCCCTGCATTTACACAGTGTTTAAGGGCAGCTGAGAGAACTCCCAAGCACTGTGTTCCATCAGTCCTGGGTCAGAGATGGGCTGAGGTGCAGGGCTGTGTGCTCGGGGATCCTCCGAGCCAGAATCTGACCCCAACCTCAGGCTGGTGACCTGACTAATGTGCCAGTGCCAGCAAAGGTGACCTTCCTGGGCTGTGGCCAGAGCCTTGCTCTCTCACAGCACTTTGGTCTGTCCTATTGGTCCTGTGACTTTATCACCACTGAATCCAGGTGTCCGAGGCTTACCCTTAGCTAGGATAGCTAGGAGTTAGTCCTGGTCTCTTGCTGAGATGGTGCCATTAACATTATTTATATCTCCCTGCTATGCTGCAGCAAGGCGGGGGGAGCAGCACCAAATGAGATCTCGTTACCTTTGTGCAAACGATTAGCATAACAATAATTTTTTTTTTTTTTTTCCCCTAGCTCATCCTTGGTAGTCCATAGGCAGCCCTCAGCAGCCTCCCTGCACCCAGGGGCTGATGCTCCCCAGGCACCTCTGCCCAGGCTGATGCTCCCCTGCTCATCCTGCCAGCTCTGCCCGGTTCCACAGTGCTGGCACCACGTCCTGCTCCAGGAGTCTCAGCCACGGTGCTGGGCATCCTGCAGGGCAGGAGATGGGCTCTGTGCTCTGCTGTGCCCCGACTGCCCTGCAGTGCCTCCAGGACCTGCTTCCCAGCCGTCCAGTGGGTCCTCCCCGCCCTGCACTCAGTGCCTGCCCCTCTCCTGGCTGGCCTCCTGTCCCTGCCGTGCCCCGTGTGCTCTCATGCAGCACCCAATCCAGACGGCAATTTCCGCGGTGGCAGCAGCCCAAGGGCTGGAATTATAGCAGGTGTCTTTTCCAATCGAAGAGCTGATTCATAGGGAAAGGGGCTGCTCCGGCACAAATCACGCCCGATGAGGAGAGCCCGCAGACAGCAGCACCTTGCTGTGAGTGGGCCGGTGTGTGTTTTGTCAGATAAAGACTGCAGACAGTCGGCAGCGGCTTCTGATGCCTGACTGCAATTGTCACCTGCTGCTCAGCCCCCTCCTGCCTGTGCTGCTGGCAGCACCCCTGAGCAAGGAGTCGATCCGAGTGTCAGTCGCTGTCCCTGCCCTCCCTCTCTGCTCCCAGTCAGCAGCAGCTGCTTCCTGGGTTCATTGCTGGCACCGGGGCCCTGGAGGGTCCCGAGAAGTGGCCGTGTTAATGGGATCGTAATGGGCTGTGCAGGGCCAGCTGAGCCCCTGAAGCAGCAGGATGTGAGCAGATGGGGAGGAGGATGGCTGGCTTGGCTGGGAGGATTGGAAGGAGCTCTGCCTGCTTCTTCAGGAGTTACAGAGGATCATAGAGGTGTCTGGCCCTCTGGCTAAGGCAGGGCCCTTCACATACAGCTCTTGGGTTTGGAAGCTGTGTCTGCTCCTTCAGGCCAAGTGCCACCTGCAGACCCTGTCTGCTCTGGTATCCATGTCAGCAACTGATTTTTATCCTGATTCTGACTCTGTGCCCCTCTCAGAGGGTCTTTTGGAAGGTTTTTCCCCCCTCTCTGCTCTGCCTGCATTGTTTGTCAGCTCAGCTCAGACACTCACCTGCTGCTGCTCCTGTGTGAGGTTCAGTCCGGGGTGTGCTGATGGGGAGACACCAGGCTGGCTCTGGGGCGCCAGCAAAGGCACATGTGCTGGAGCAGAGCTGGGCACCTTCAGTCACTCAGGCTGCAGTGCTGGGGAGCCACGAGCTGGGTCCCTGCAATGGAGCAGAGAGAGGCCCCAGGCTCCCTCAGGGCAGCTGCTGGAGATGATGCCCGAAGAGCTGCTGTTCATCCAGAGCATGGAGGAGCTCGTGGCGGGTCCTGCAGGCTGTGACTTGGAGGGTGACCTCACTGTGGGTTTGCTTGTTCCCTGCAGACAACACGGCGGCGGTGCACACCCAGAGAGTGGGCTTCAACCGCCAGGAGCAGGACGTGTACCTGCTCCCCATCCTGGTGGTGGACAGCGGCCCCCCGGCCCTGAGCAGCACGGGGACTCTGACCATCCGTGTCTGCGGCTGCGACAGCAGCGGGGCCATCCAGTCCTGCAACAGCACAGCCTACGTCGTGTCGGCCACACTGAGCCCCGGCGCCCTCATCGCGCTGCTGGTCTGTGTCCTCATTCTGGTTGGTGAGTTCCTGCCTGGCCACCCCCACCTGCCTCCTCCTCTTGTCCTGTCCCAGCTCCCCTCCATCAGCATCACATGAACATGTGCAGGCTGGTGCTGTGGGCACGGAGCAGGCTGCATCTGTCTGCTCCCTGGTAGCTGCAGCGTGGGAGGGCAGGAATTGCAGCCCTCTGGCCCTGGGACTGGCTCCTGGCTGGCTCCAAGGGCTGTCCAGACACCTGTAGGAGCCAGCGTGTTGTTTGGTGAGGTCTCCTCTGCTTGGCATGGCTCCACTCCCCGTCTCCTGCTGCATCTCCATTCAGAAAACCCTTTCCCACAGGGTGCACTTTACACTGGTTTCATTTTCCAACGCAGCGCAAACAAATTTCTGCCTAATTGCCCAAATGAATAAAGTGCACATTGGTGCTTTAAAGGTGATGGGCTGAATGGATGATGATCCAGGACACAGCTGCGGCTCGCTGCTCAGGCTCTCTGCCATCTGCTCCACGCTCACCCACCCAACATTCGGCTGCTGCTGTGATTCATGCACCCCCTTTTCCTACTCATCTTCCGCAGGACCCATCCGTTTGTCTGTCCTGCCGTGTGTTTGTCCATCTGTCCCTCCTGTCTCGGTGGTCGCGCTGCATGGGAAAGGAAGCTCCTGGTCTGCACTGGAGCCCTCTCTCCAAGCCAGTTCACAGCCCGACTGCTGCTCCATGAGCCTGGCTGATGGGAACCGTCTGGCATTCCGGCAGGGCTCCCTGTGCCAGGGGGTGCTCTGCGTCTGCTACCGAGCAGGAGATGTCCTCACCCCGCAGGAGCACAACTTCCACGAGACCCTGCACCCGTCTGACCGTCTCTTTCCTTTCCCAGTGCTGGTCCTTCTGATCCTCACGCTGAAGCGACACCACAAAAGCCACCTGAGTTCTGAGGACGACGAGGACATGAGGGACAATGTCATCAAATACAACGACGAAGGGGGTGGCGAGCAGGACACGGAGGCCTACGACATGTCGGCCCTGCGCAGCCTCTACGACTTCAGTGAGATCAAAGGTGGTGATGGAGGTGGGGGGCCAGGAGAGGGGGGCCCTGGCAGAAACCCCGCCTCTGAGCTCCACGCCCTCCCACAGTGGGTGCAGAGCCCGGACCTGGACTTCTCTGTGTTCAGAGACTACATCTGCAGGAAGGTGGAGCAGGCGGACGAGGACCTCTCTGTGCCGCCCTACGACTCATTCCAGACCTATGCCTTCGAGGGCTCGGACTCGCCGGTGCCCTCCCTGAGCTCCATCAACACCTGGTCCAGCAGCTCAGAGCAGGACTTCTCGTACCTGGGGGGCTGGGGGCCGCGCTTCCGGCAGCTGGCAGCGCTGTACGCTGGGCGCAGGGGCGAGGAGGACGGCGAGGACTCGTAGCTGCCTCACCGACCCCTGCGAGGCTCCTGGTGCCTCCTGGACTGCGGCTCCCGCGCCTCCAGGTGCCACGTGGGGGACCGTGTGCTCCTGTGGCCCGACTCCACAGCTGCCACAGAGTGGGCTGGGGGCACGGGGGCAACTGCTCCTCTGCTGCTGCCTCCTCCCCCTCGGGTGGGCTCTGCACCCGCGAGGAGGGGCTGGGGAGCCCAGAGGAGCCCGGCTGTGGTGTCCTCATCTCCTCAATGCCAATCTTCATTAAAGCACTACGCATTAACTTAAGAAAGAGAAAATCTAATTCAAGAGAGTTTGGAGATGATTTCTCCCCCCGCAAATTATCATTTAAATAGATCTGTTTGGTGAGCCCCATCCAGGAGAGGAAGAGCAAACCGGGAGCCTTTTGTTGTCTAAATTGTTTTTGTCACTTGAGTCAGAGTATTTGAAGAGCTTTGATTTCTTTAAGAGCTTTCCTTGCAGAAAGAAACAAGCTTTTAACTTCTGTTCAGATTTTTCCCCCTTACGTTCGCTCGCTTTTTTGGAGTCTTCCTTCTCTCTGTTCCCTGTGGGCCTCACAGCAGCCCCCAGCTGCCAGCATGGCATTGGAGGGAGTGTGCCATGCTGGGATCACATCCTGCACAGAGTGGCCACTCACCTCAAACCACACTTCACCCCTGCATTGCACTTGCTTCGTCCCCGTCTTGTGGTTCACAGAGGTGCTGGTGATGTGAAGGGGCTGTCCAACACTCCCTGCACAGCAGACATTACCTGCAAGGTCCTGGTGTGCCTCACAAGCCCCGGTGACAAGATGGGGACATCCCACCCATCAGCAAGGCACGGTGCTGTGGCCTGAGCCGCAGAGCAGTCAGAGAGTGCTGGGGAGCACTGTTGGAGGGGCCCAGAGAAACACCCCCAGTGGGCTCTGCCAACCCCTCACGTGGGACCCGGGGTTTGTGGGACTCTCAATCAGGCTCTGGCTGTCAGCAAACAGTGTGAGCTGCACAGGGCAGCAGGCAGGATGTCAGTGCTCCCTGGCCCACAGCGGCTGGGGAGAACTGCATCCCATGGAGGACCGTGCAGGGTACGAGATAACCCCAGCCCCTGCTTGGGAGGAGTAATTCCTGCTTACACCCAGCTGACAGCAAAGCATCATCACTGATGACAGAAAAGCCATCCCCAGGAGACATGCACGAGGCCAGATCCTGCTCGTGCTGCTCTGCCTGCTGGCTGCAGGCTGGGCAGCAAGTCTGTGGCACCTTGTGGTCCCTGGGGTGTCACCACCCCGGCACAGTGCCCGGCAAGAAACCAGCACGAGCTCCCACGGTGGGGCTGCCTCTGCATGAAATTCTGGGGTTTGGGAGGCAAATCAGGAGGATGCCAGTGGGATGTGCCATTGCTCCTTGGGCGGCAGATGATGCTGGAGGAAAGCACGGAGTGCCCTGCACCTTCCCAGCCTGCTGACTGCCCCGGGGGGAACTGAACAGCGTGCGGAGTGATGCCCTCACACAGCATCTCAGGCAGTGCTGGCTAGTGCAGCTCCTTATCTGTTCGTGTTGGGAAAAAAAAAAATCAATTATATCATTGATAGGCAACTGATAAGGTCTCCCAAGACCTGACACATCCTGGGCTTATCATTGAGTTTGTCCTTTTAGTTTAACCGCAGTGTTTTCTCTCCTTGGAGAAGGTTTAACTGTAAATGTACATGCGTGTTCATTTTTTTACTGTGTGTTGCTTCCCGGCTGCTGGCGTTGGTCCTTTGGCTGCGGCGTGAGACCCGACAGGGACAGGACCTGTCTTTGTCACAGTGCCTGCCCTCGGCTGCTCCTGCCCGCTGCTGCCACGGCCCCAGCTTGGCTCATACTGGGACCAGGAGCTCCTTTCTCCTTAGGGCCTCTCTGGTTCCCCCCAGGGAGGCGGTGGATGCCGTGGCTGGCACCCAGCCTGGCGTGCTGCTGGTTCACTGTGATGATGCTGGGGAGGCAGCAAGGCCCTGGAGTGCCAGCTCTGGGCGCGCTGCCTCAGGCAAGTCATGCCCTGCACCACCCCCTGCCCCCCCCTCTCCCCGTGCAGGAGAATGGAGAAAGCCCTCTCTTTCCTCAGGAATGTGTTCGTGTTTTCCCTCCGTGCTGCAGATCCGTGCCCGAGCTCCCCCCCAAACACTGGCCCTCCCTCTAGCCGAGTGTTGTGCAATAGCAGGGCTCTGTCCTAGGAGATGGGGTCTGACAGGGTCCGTGTTTAGCAACCCTCCCACCGGGTTCCCCCCATCCCTGCCCGGCGCATGCACGCACCGCTTGCGTTTTAGTTTCTACCCCACGTGTAAATACGGGAGGAGCGCGGGGGGAGCCGGCAGCTGCCACCGCGTCTGATGGAGTCACACTTCGGTTTTTGTTTCTCTACCCAGATGAAATTAGAAGGTTGATTTCCTCACCCTTGTTATTTTTTTTTTTTTTCAAGGTCTTTCTGGGACCTGGAAATAAATTATTTCCTTGTCGTCCAGCCTGGAGTCTTATGTGCTTATTTTGTCTGGTTTCCTCTTTCCTCACGTTGCGCTGTCAGTGTGGTCCCATCAGCACTTTTCCAGAGGGGCCAGGTGCTGCCTGTGGCAGGACAGGCTGTGGCAAAGCCCAGCACAGCCCATCCACCTGCTGCCCGCAGCGCATCCCCACTGGCAGGATGCAGCATCTCTGGCTTCTTCCCATTTTTCTTCGAAATGCTCATCAGAAAAAGCTTCTTCAAGAGCAGGGTAATTTTTTTCTGTCTGAATTTGAAGGAAACGATGAAAAAATGTGCCGTTGGCTTTCTCTGTCCCTGAGCCCCAAGGCACATGGCTGCAAATGCTTCTGCACCCCTCAGAGTGATGATGGCCACGGAGGGATGGAGCAGACACGGAGAGAGGAAACGTGGCTGAGCTCAGTGGTGGCCTCAGTGTGGGTCAGCAGGTAGAGCAGGCAGACTTTAAACTGCTCTGTAAAGTGACAGTCACTTAAACAGCAACTTGCAGTCCTGGCTCCAAACCGGGACTATTGATCCCTCAGGTCTCTGAGTGTTTCCATATCCTTCACCATCCCCGTGCCTCCACTCCATCCTGCTCCCTTGATTATTCACTAAATGTTATGGAAGAAGCATCTGGTGACCTTTGGTGACAGCAGTTAGTGGGATGCTGTGACAGAAGGGGGGAGTCTTGAGGCCGGAGGGTTTTCCAGAGGCACAAGGTGTGCTGCCAGACCTCAACATGCGCACGGTTTTCCTTTTCACAGTTTCAGTGAGTGTCTCTACAGCTGCCAGCCCTGTGGAGGCCTTTCTGCCAGCGTCACCATTAATTACCCCCTCACAGTGGGTCCGTCAGCACTCTGCTTGCAGCCACATGCTCCAGCAGGTCTGGGCACCTGGCCGGTTCCTGTTTGCAGAGAGCTGATGGTTGCTGTGTGTTTCCACTCAGGTTTCCAGCCCAGGCCCTTGACCACAAGAACTCTCATCCAGCTGCAGCCCACACAAACATGTTTTCCAAGTCCTGCTGTCCCACTTCAGGCACCCAAACGCCTTGGGACTCTGGAGGTCAATGCCTGGAGTGTTCTGGGAGCTCCATGCTGAGGAGGAGGCGTCTGCAGTCATTGTACTCCTTGCAGTGACAAGGTGACAAGTGCCTGGAGTTGAGTAGTGAGCCTGGGCTATGCAGAAGGATTTGCTTCTTGATATTGTGGAGGAATTGAGTGAGCTCAAAGCAACAAATTGCCAGCCAGAACCAGGCCCTTCACTACAAAAGAGGAGGATTATTGAGAGCTCTGATTGCAGAAGCATCTTTGAAGATGCTTGAAGAGCTCCATGCCTCCTCAATGGGGTCCCTTCTCTGGAAATTTTCCTATAGGAGCTCTGCCTCTCCAGCAGTTGCACAGCAGCCTCCTTGCAGAGCAGGGCAAGGGCAGGTCCCTCTCCTTACCCTTCCACAGGAGAGGAAACCAGTCCTGCTCTGCAGATGATGGCCCTTGCCATGTGGGACACAGCCTGTGGCTGTCTGCTGGGGGTGGTGGAGGGTGATGGCACTTGCTGCTGCCACATTCTGAACGGGTCCTGCAGGGCTGGTGCTGCTCTCCCCCGTTGACCACTGGCTGTTGCAGCCCCAGCACGGGGAGGCTGCATCAGTCACCTCCAACGCCTGCGCTGAGCCACGGCGAGCTCCAGAAGGCAAGGTGTCCAGGCCTCCTCCAGAGAGGTATTTGCAAAAGATGGATGTGATCTGCTGGGATCATTAAGGGGAAGTGAAAAAAGGGCAGTGATACCTGCACCCTCAGGAGGGAAATCCATCTCCGGTAACTGAGTGCAACAAGGCTGTGTCAACCTCCGCCTCCCCCTCCCAACTGGCAATATGCTGCTCGGGAAGGTGATCCCTTCTCCCCCATATCCTCTGAGGAAGCTGCTTTATCACCAGAAAGCTGACTCCTTTAACCACCTCCACTACAGCTAATATCCCAGCTCTCTACGTCCTTTCATTTACCAAGCCCTTGAGCTTCCTTCAGGGTTGGTGTCAGACTGTCCCTGCTCAGCAAAATCTCACTTTTACATCTGTGCCCTGTGCTCGGTGCAGGCAGCAGCTCTATCTTGTCAGGGCTCTCTTGCTGTGCCACAGTGCTCCAGGTTGTGCTCTCTACTTGCTGTGGCTCAGCTGCCTCCCAGCCCATCCCAGGAGTGTTCCCAGCATCTGGAGATGACCTGGCCTTGTGCCTGTGCCTGGCAGCAGGTCTTGCTTCTGGATCACCGGCAGAAACGGAGCAGTGTTTCCAGGCAGCTGTCATGGCTCTGTCACCGCAGCCAAAGAAGTTGGAGAGAAACAAAATCATTTTATTTCATGTGGCCCTGGAATCCTCCTTCTGGGCAGTCTGTGGGGCTGAAACCACCCCTTGCCCTGCTAAGCAGCCAGGCCAGTGTGGTGGAGATCTGTTCCTGCTGCCACCAGAACTACATCCATTTGGGATGCTGGTGCCGTGCCGAGCGGCCATCGTCTGTCACTCACACATCCCAGCCTGGGCTTTCTCCAGCCTAAAGATCCCTTTTCAGATGAGTGTGGATTTAATGACTGTTCTTCAAATTCCTAGAAAAGGACCTTGGGCTTTGCAAAGCTGAAT